CACAGTTTGCCTGTGAACAGTTCAGGAAGTTTGACAGCAGTCCAGCCCAACACTTAATGTCACGAAGGCTGAAGACTTCGCTGCCGGTTGCGGACAGCTTGCTGCAACCATGGTTAGTGACTGGCAACACACTCTCACTCCCTAAGCGTCCAGGAGCGACGCTTGGTCAGGGTCTCGTGGCGTCCAGTTGTGACGCGCCGAGGCTCCTTCAGCTTCATAAACGGACGCAAAGAGCTTTCAACTGATTGCAATGTATTCCCATCGGCGTCGGTATTTGACGCTTAGGGAAGCACGGCATTCGTTTGTGTCGGAGGCTGTTAAAGGCAATGTGAGCGTCCATTCCCATTGGATAACGGAGAATTGTACACCCGGAAGTAAGTATTCCCCTTACTGTCGATTGATTTGACAGTGATATCTCCACTACTCATCAACTCAAAAACACCAGATTACTGTATCCTTGTTAATTAAACGACATTGATAGGTTTTAGTGTGTGTACAATGCTTTTGTCACGTTTTCCCCTTCAATTCTGAGAAACAAGTCGTTTTCTATGAGTTTTGGATGGCCGAAGACATTACATTACCCACAATCCTCTGTAGCAACCATAGACTGTATAAAACAATTGAATAATACATTATTCCGAGTGTGCTTGCTTTTCTCTTTGAAAGTCATCACATAACGGCAGAGATGGGACCAAGTCATTGTTTTGCAAGTCCGAGTCAAGTCTCAAGTCTTTGCGCTCAAGTCCGAGTCAAGTCTCAAGTCTTTGTGCTCAAGTCCAAGTCAAGTCTCAAGTCAGGATGGGAAAGTTCAAGTCAAGTCCAAGTCCTAAACTTTGACAAAACGAGTCTTAAACAAGTCCTTATGTGCTTTTCAACAAATGTATTGACATCGATCAACAGAATAATACTTAATAATCAAACTGCTCTTTATTAGTCACATTAATAATTTAATAATCCATTTTCTCTCTGCTGGTAAAGTAACGTGTTTGTCTTCTATTGTAAGAGGGATCAGTAAGGTAAGGCTACCGTGACGGTTGGATTCAGAAGGAGTTTAATGTACAAGATCCCTGATGTTGAGGTGACCAGAATGTTTATTTCCACTGTGTACAACATGTTATAAGGGACCCACAACCTATCTTTATGCAAGGGATAATGTGCAGCGAGGCGTCTCTATGGGGAAAAGAACACCTGAATCTAGATCCCTCTGCAGGTGGTACTTTAAGTATATTTTGATGCTAATACTTTTGTACTTTTACTTGTAACATTTTGAATGCAGGATCTTTTATTGTAACCGAGTATTCCTACACTCTGGTACTGTTACTCAAGTACAAGATCTGAACTTCTCCCACCTCTGGCAATAAATCCTGAGTGGTTACCAAAAAGAAACCCTGCTCTGAAGGCTATTTTCATTTTTGCAAATCCTGCACTCAGCTTTGCTTTCTCCAATATCATTGACATGCAGCCAGATGCTGCTTCTTTTTTCGGTTTTCGCAAATTTCTTGACTTTTTCCGACGCGCTTGCATTTAAATCCGGCTCCCCATCTCCCCGTGGCTCTGTAGCTGGCCTGTACCACTACACCTGCTGTCTTTGGAGCGTCTGCCCCCCACCCTTCTTTCACATAATGGTATGATCCTAGTGTGTCCTCGCATATGATTGGCCGCATGGTGGCTCAGCAAAATAAAGTCCCGCCCCTGCCTGCATGGATTCTCAGCAAGAGTTGCAGCAGCTGAAGATTCTGCTCTCCCCGACGGGAGTCTGCTCTTCTAGCGGCATATCGCGATCGGCGTGTTGGAGACCCCTGAATTAAATTATCAAGTCACCTCAAGTCAGAAGGCTCAAGTCCAAGTCAAGTCCCGAGTCATTGGTGTTCAAGTCCAAGTCGAGTCGCAAGTGTTTTGTGATTTTGTCAAGTCGAGTCCAAAGTCATCAAATTGGTAACTCGAGTCTGACTCGAGTCCAAGTCATGTGACTCAAGTCCACACCTCTGCATAACGGCATTGTAATACACGTTTCGGCTGCATTAAATATGACATATCTACCGTAGTTAACTCTGCCCTGATGACAAGACTTCTAGACAAACAGGAACTGCCGCCAAAACTGAAAACTTGAGTGGATCTTAAATATATAAGCAATTAAACAACATCTTACATTTATTTTCACACAATACGTTTCCTTGCAGTATCAACACTAATTCGGCTGACTTTTATATTTGATCCAATTGGTAGATATGCTGTATTTACGCCATAACGGTGCACAGCTGATAGAAAGGGACACCTACTGGTTAAAGCACGTTATTGCATTTTATAATTTTATAAAAGTAGTGTGTATTCGTCATTCAAAAGAGGCAACAACCGGAAGACAGAGAAGAAGAACAGACTGCGTGATATAAACAAACAACAAATAGCGTGTGCGTTCCATTTTCACTCTCATCCATCGAAAACATGTTTCGTGCAGTACTGGAGCTATCAGCTATTGGAGTGTTGCTTGTGGAAGACATTCTCAAGCAACCGCTTCGCTTCACATGCACTGATTCGCTAGCTGAACAGCCAATCAGAGTGATTTCTTTGGCCGACTGCCTGTGGCCGACGCATGGCCGATTCAACATGTTGAATCGGCCATGCGTCAGCCATGAAAGGCCAAATAAGGCGTGTCACGGCCGACGGTGCGGGACACACCAAATTGAGTTTGGGCGACAAGCCACGCTTCGTCGTCCGACTAACGAAAACGGCCGATTTCGGCCTGGTGTGTCAGGGCCTTTATATTGCAGTCCCTCACTCGCTGTTTTTTGTTTTGTGGATGGTGTTTTACATTTACAAATCACATATTTACACACAAATTATTTTTCTGTTCACACAAATAATTATGAGACATATCTATGCCCATAAGGGCCTCATCACATAACTTTTGCGTGGGGCCACAAGTTGGCCATTGGCGTTGTTTTGCTATGCCGCTGAAGTATACGCTGTGACGTAATAACTCTTCTTCTTTTTCTTTTTTTCGAGGGAAAAAGAGCCTACAGTAGGTATAAAAGACACTGCAAGTCACGGCTCACCAGTCGCCACTGCGTTTGGATAAATCACGAGTTAGTTTACCGTTTGATACTTCATCACGTAAGCTCAGTCTGCGTGACTTTACAGCTTTTGGTTAACCTGGAAATCATCTTGTTGTCATGGCGATAACACTTTGTGTTGTTTTTATACTGGTTGCAGCTTCTATTCACGACTGTGGTGAGTATCGTTTGGTCAGCATTAACCTGTAGGCTGTAGTGCAGAGAGATAGGAGTCGGAGGCAGTGCATCGAAGGTGAAAAGTGGTGCTTTAATGAGCATGTTGTCGGGTCGCAGCCCGGGAAGAAGAGAAAGCGAAAGGGAGGAGGACACAGTATATACCCCGGAGGTACAGTAAGCATTAGTGTCCGTGCGGAACAATACCCCCAACCTGTAGTTCCTTGATTGAATTATGTAACCCAGTGTATTAATAAGTGATCACTACAAGGCCTACTATAACTTCTGGCCGTGTCAAAATGTTACTGCGTTATTATTTTCCAGGGTGTCCGTGGGGTCTTAAAAGTATTACAAGTTGATAAATCAATTTAGCGAAAATTAAGGCTATTAAAAAGTATTAAACGGCATTTTCCAAGGTAGGCTATTACATTTTGTAGCTTGTTTTCAATAAGTATATAAATTGTCCAAAGAGGTTGTATTCTAAAGTTTACCTGAATGTAATCATTGCGTAGGTGTGTAGTGTGATTCTGTGTAGTTTATTTATGGCATCCCGTTGGATTTGCCGTCATCTGAACAGGACATCGCACGCTCACTGCTTGATAGCGCGAAGGCCTGTTATGGGGAAATGCAAGTTTGCGTCCAAATGGTTGGAAGATAAGGAGGAAGGACAATCAATACTGTATAGTAAATGTGAGGTAAAGTGTGTCGCCAATGCAACCGGTTAAAACTCGAAGTGGCGATGAGGTCTTAAAATGTATGGAAAGGGTCTTAAAAAAGGTCTTAAAAGGTATTAGATTTGACTTCAGGATTCCTGCTTATACCCTGTTTTCAAACAGAAACAAAAAGGCATATTTGCAATTGCACTTACTTACACTATCTCCAAAATCCCTAATTTATGTATTGTTATTTTAATTATTCTGCACTCGCTTATTATTGTTTTCTCACCATGTTTATGTGTGTGTACAGTAGATGGGGTCCTGCACTTTGCCTCCTACTATAAAGACCACATGGTGCTGCAGAAGTCTCCAGAGAGAGCTGTAGTGTGGGGCTATGGATCCGAGGCAACCCTGTCTCCTAGAAATTACGTTCCCACAAAACTAAACTGCATTCTCAAATACGTTTCGCAAGAAACGTATTTCCTTCCACGTTACGTTTGTTATGAACATATCTTAAATACGTTTATTTTCTACATATCTTCTAGAAACCTATTTTCTCCCACATGACGTTTGTTATGAACGTATCTCAAATACGTTTGCTTTCTACCTATATTTGCCATTTCTTTTCTAGCTTATAATAATGATAATAGTAATTTATTAATATCATTTTAGAGCAAACTTATTTTCGCGCTGGCTGGCACTGTTCAGTTTACCAAATCCGTTATTATGCTGGTTAATGGTTAATAATCACAATATTGTTTGTAGTCGTTTCATACAGCATTCTCAATTACGTTTAACAAGAAACGTATTTTGTCCCACGTTACGTTTGTTCTGAACATATCTTAAATACGTTTGCTTTCTACCTATCTTTGACATTTCTTTTCTAGCTTATAATAATGATAATAGTAATTTATTAATATCATTTTAGAGCAAACTTATTTTCGCGCTGGCTGGCGGCTCACTGTTCAGTTGACCAAATCCGTTATTATGCTGGTTAATGGTTAATAATCACAATATTGTTTGTAGTCGTTTCATACAGCATTCTCAATTACGTTTAACAAGAAACGTATTTTGTCCCACGTTACGTTTGTTCTGAACATATCTTAAATATCATGACTATCATCAAAATAAGTACAACTGTTCCTTCCCTGCTATGATTGATGACTGGAGGATGGCGTTTCATCAGGGCTCAGGCTGGCAGACAGCTTCCGATTTCCCTTTTGGATTTGTCCAGGTATGTTATTTTGAGTAGTTTAGTTTAAAAAACACAATTACACCACACTATATTTTGGTCTTTACTGTATCACTTACAAAATATAATTTTTTCAAAATATTTATCAATCAGTTTTCAAAATCCACACACAAATTATAACATTTATATAAATAATATCCACTGCCCAGCACTTATTTAAACATGAAAAACGAAATGTGTTAAAGTTGGTTTAATTTTGTATTCATTCCTTCCACCGAATAGCAAAAAACTACGGAGCCCTAAAGGGACTTGAAAAAAAAAAAAAGTCGGGATAACAGGAAAGTTTCTCGTAAGCAAGACTTACTTTCTCGTTACCATGAGAACGTTTCCAGTGAAAAGGAAGTACTGTACCACACAGGAGACCACCATTTAAAGTGGACCTATCATGCTATATTTGAATAATATAGTGTAGGACCATACCTATATAAGGCATATTTATACTTTTTTTTTTTCAAAATACCAAACAGATCATGCATTTTAGCCATGCCTCATTTTGCTCAATTTGACATTTTTTTAGCTCTGTTTTAGCAAGGGCAGATTCTGTGAGAACAGCACCATCTACAGACCTGGCATATGTACTACAGCGTCTCCAGCGCTTTCTAACTGCAATGGCCGTGGCTGTCTCCTCCTGATTGATGGAGTTGGCCCAATAGCCGTAGCGCCACTGTCCTGACGTCAGGACAGTGTTCAAATCTGGATCAGTTTTTATCAGATCCGTTGCAGCCCCTTTTTTAGAGATTTGGGTATGGAGGAAAATAGAGAGGGTTGTGTTTTCTGACACTTGGTGAGTTCCCTGGAACACCGGGGACACATATTCATGTATAAAAGACGTACAAAAGTGCATTTTGCATGATAGGTCCCCTTTAATTGCAGAATGTTTTGTTTGGAAATGACGGCAGTATACTGTACATTATTTGAGTTTTATTTCGAACTCTGACTTAATTTTAAGGACATTTCGACCAGGGGTGTACAGCTATTTGTTTAAGCATCGGATCGGCAAATTAGGAGAGTCTGTAAACCAGTCTGCCTTGATCTATGAATTCATGTCAGTGACTCTCACAGTGCCTGCTGCCCACAGTAGTTTTATAGAAATAAAACCTCATTCACTTAATGAACTCGCTGCAGCATCAGGAGCTAGCGGGACTAATAACACAGCAGCCTCCGAGAAGTACAGCACCAGCGGCGCGCCCAGTGCCTTTTATGCACCGCCATACCTACGTTTACCTTAATTAGATCAGCTAAAGAGAGACTGCAGGCTGCCACCACTTTAACCCAATACATACACCTCTACAAACATCAAACTGCCCAATTATTAGCTTTTAAGGTGGGGTAGGTAAGTTTGAGAAACCGGCTCGAGATACACTTTTTGTTATATTCCATGGAATGCTCTTAACATCCCGATAGCAATGAATATCTTAAGTGCTTTGACAAAAAATCCATAAAAAAATGTCATCTGTGGAAGCCGTAGTACTGTAAAAAGTACGACCAATCATTTTAGCCGGCCCGGCTAAAATAACTGGATGGCCTACCTGCCTGTCAGCCTTCCATCTGTGCACAAACTTATCTCGTGCCCTCATTGGTCATGTGCGCGTGCGTGTGTGTTGGAGGAGGGGCTCTCTGTAAGGAAGTGGCAGATTTGTTCCGGCTGTGTATTTTCAAATTCTAGCGATCTCGAGCCGGTTTCTCCAAAATTACCTACCCCACCTTTAAGGAGGCGCATTATGGGTGTCTGTTTCTGCTCAGCTCCACTTTGTGTGTGTGTGTGTGTGTGTGTGTGTGTGTGTGTGTGTGTGTGTGTGTGTGTGTGTGTGTGTGTGTGTGTGTGTGTGTGTGTGTGTGTGTGTGTGTGTGTGTGTGTGTGGATATTATGATGCTGTGACATTTCAGCAGCGGCGCCAATAAAAGTCTCATGTTCATGGACTCGCAGGAGTACTTTACTGCTGAATGAATACTGAGGGAAATATTGTTTATTTGCCTTTTGTTTTTGTTAAATAAAATTAAAAAACCTGGCGTTTTATAATTTCAGGGGGAACACTAATCCATAATTTATTTGCACTTCCAGCTGAGTACCTTGAAAAAAGTTTCCAAAAGTGACGCCTTTCCGAATATCCGCTGGCACCAGACAGCAGATACAGGTTTTGTCCCAAATCCCCGGATGCAGAACACTTTTATGGCTGTGGCTATGGATTTACCAGATGAAACATCTCCCTATAACCCGTAAGAAATGTCTTAACATGAACTTGTAGAATATGAACCTGTGCAACACCAGGGAGCATCATTTTGCTTATACAATTATTTGGAGATACCTTTGTATGATTTGCATAGATTGTTGATTAGCTAATGGAAACACATAAACAACAACTCCTTCATGTAGCTGTTTTTTTGCACTCATAGCCTATACAATATGTAAAACCAAAGGGACTATTACATTGAATATACAGGTGTGATTAACAGATACAACCACATCAAGGCCTGTGCATCTCCCTCAGGAAGATATTGACAAGAATTGCATTTAAAAGTAACTCTAATTTTGAGAAAAGAGGTGAAAAAGTTCAATGCTATTTTTAAACATCATTGGGTTTGACCTTCTAGAGATAATTCAAAAATAATAATAATACGTTTGGCAATTTAAAGAGTTTGAATAAGGAATAAGGTCACACGTGTTCATAACGGTTTCACCCATGATGTTTTGTAAAAAGGCTATTTTTATGGAAATTATTTTTTATTTGTTTTAGGATCCATCCCCGAGACAAGCAGGACGTAGCCTTCAGACTGTCATTGGGAGCAAGGGCAGTGGCGTATGGTGAGCAGGACGTGGCCTTTCGTGGACCTTTCCCCAGCCAAATCTTGTCCACTCCAAAGTATCTCGAGGTAGCCTACGACCAAGAATTCTCTGTCACTTCGTCTGAAAACATCTTTGAGGTAAGGCTTGCAGCGGTACAGTCTGTGTAGGTTATGTCCAATATTCACTGCTGGCTTTATTAAATATGCTAACAAATAATAGCTATACCATCATATAAGGCTGATGTTTGGTCCGATAATTGCTAAATAAATAAATGTTCGCTTTTTAAGATCTGCTGCTCAAAGAGTGAGTCTCCATGGGATCCTAAGGCTCGTTGGGTTCCAGCTCCCATCATGCAGTGGGGTCTGACCACTGTCCAGTTATCTACCAGCTTGTGTTCTCCCACTGAACAAGTAGCTGCTCTGCGGTATGCATGGAGAGACTGGCCCTGTGACTTTAAAGCCTGTCCAATCTACAGCGCCTGTAAGATTTTACCTGGTCCTCCTTTCATTTCCACCAACCTCCAGCCAAAAGATGATGGAAAGTAATGAGGAGCTGTCAACAAAATGAACCAGACCGGTGATTGTAACTAAGTCAAACTCACCTAATGTTGTTTTCGCATATTTAAAGGGAATGAAAGAAAGATCTTTTCATTTGTACTTCAGTGTTTCCCACAGATCTGAAATATAATTGGGGGGGGGGGGGGGGCGTGGGGGTTTGAGGTGACGTGCCTTTGTGACGTGCAACAACATTAACATTAACCTTTCTGTTGGTCGCTTGTTAGCAGACCCTTCATGCGATGGCAGAGCGAACAGGTACAGGCAGGGCCCATAGTGATAGCCCTATAGTTTAAATACCCACAAATAAACATATGGATATGGGTTACTATTTAAAAAAAATTGTAAATGTATTTAGGAACCTGTCCATGTGATTTTAAGTGGGGGGGGGACCTCAGATTTTTTTTTAAATGTTGGAGTTAAATGCATCAATCTGGTGCATTTTGAGGGGGAAAATAAAGAGACTAGATCTATGGGAACACCTATGAAACAGAACTGTATACATTTCAATAATCATAAAATCATGGCCATAACCAATAACATACCATTTCCAATATGAAAAAACACTGACACCCTCAAATGGAAATATTATATGTGTTTACATAAATGGTGACCAAACCGTTTGAGACCCACGGAGAACTTAGACTAAGTTAACTATCTAAACACTCAGAGAGTCCTTTACCTCACCTGAGCTGAGGTTATCCCGAGCTTGAATGACACACAGAGACCAATCAACGGCTTTGATTTATGATCTGTATGACAGTGACCATGTCGGCAGGCCACATCATGTAGACAGCCAGTCACTCAAAAAATCCTCAGGCCAGCCGGCCACTTAACAGGCCAGGCCATCGTGAAACCCCCCGGTCCTCCCAATGGCCAGTCCGGGACTGAGTACAGGAGGCGTAGAGCAAGGAATCATTGTCCACAAGTTAATCGATCGCAGATGGCATCGTGGTCGCGGACGGAAAAAAATATATATACTTGGGCGGCCGTTAATATACCTGGGCGGCCCGCCCAAGTATAGTCTATGTGTGGGAAACCCTGTACTTAATGGTCAATTTGTTTTGATTGTTTTCCTTGTTTGGATTGATGTAACACTGGACAATAAATATGGGTAGGAAGTAGCTAATAATTGTCTGTTTTCTACTTTTCTACAAAGGCAATGAAAGCATTTAGAGGAAAGAAGTTGCTGTACTTGATTGTCAGTTTCTTTTGATTGTTCGGATTCTAGTTTGGATTGATAAGACATTAGATATATATAATTTGGTTCGGTATGAGTAAATTGAATATTCTCAGAGAGGGCAGTATTTACTACGTATATCAGAATAGAGATTAAAAGCATTACACTAATGATGCTATGCAATGATTTAGTTGGAAAGTTTGGAAATTCTGTCAGTCTGGTGGGACACATTTTATTTGAACAAAACATTTTTACACAAATAAATGTCAAATCAACAACTTACTTTGTCTGGGTGTGCTTCATTCAATGCCGGCGTTTTGTCTCAAAGTAAATCACATGGAAATACTCTACTGTTTTTCAAATGGAAACAAAATGTGAACTATAACTTACTGTAAACATAGGATACAATGGTAAGTCGTCAAGAGGCTAAACTTGACTCATTGCCATTATTATGAGAGTGCTCTCATACTTGTTTGATTCTGAAATTGTATATATATAAATATATATGTGTGTGTATATGTCCGCATCTGTAGCCTGTTATTGTCTCATTATACAGCACTGTCAATTAATTAAAGTAAATATATAAGTTGTCCTGAACACAGTTCTGCATCAAAGTAAAAACACGGCATTGCACTTAAAGAAACTGCAGCCTGCAGAATGGCTTACTTCTGTACTGTGACTCACTGCCACCAGAGGACAGTGTCAGCTAAAGCTTTTGCTTTCAAAAACAGAATCTCTAACTTTTGAGTTGATCAGTAAAGTTTTCCTTTTCAGAAATAGAAACATTACACATTTATATTCGGAAAACAGTTTTTTCATGCTGGATGGTAAATGACAGATATTTAGTGTTGGTTAGTTAGTTAATGATTTTTTGTCTGAAAAATGATTATGGGGGTCTGCACTTGTTAGCAAGATTTAGTGATTTAGGGAACATAACTACGGTGGCCCTGAAGTGCAAGACACCACAGCATTTCACAAAACACTACAGCATTTCACAAAACACTACAGCATTTCAGAAAACACTACAGCATTTCAGAAAACACAACAGCATTTCAGAAAACGCCGCAGCATTTCAGAAAACACTACAGCATTTCAGAAAACGCCACAGCATTTCAGAAAACGGCGCAGCATTTCAGAAAACGCCGCAGCATTTCAGAAAACGCCGCAGCATTTCAGAAAACGCTACAGCATTTCAGAAAACGCTACAGCATTTCACAAAACACTACAGCATTTCACAAAACACTACAGCATTTCACATTGGACGGAAAGGGTATTCCTTTAGGGAGAACACTTCTTGTTTGTGATTGGACAGAGCCAGCCAGAGAAGCACTGCTGTGATTGTTTGTTTTTGCTGCCAGTCAAGAAATGACGCTTTGTGATTGGTCAGCACCCGACAGTGCAACATGTCCCAACACATCAGCTGTTAGCCGTTAGCACACAGAGCTCACAGCTCCTCATATCTGTTCAGAAACTGGACAAAAGTTAAACATGTACAAACCACAGACTGTCTATGTCATGGCGAATACAGTCGCTGCTTTATTTATGTCTGTATGACGTTGTTGTGAGTGTGGGCGGAGCAGCTACAGGTTAGTTTAGCCTGATCGATCCGATCTCCATTCAGAAAACACGCATTTTAAAAGGTTTTTCGCCTGCCGTCTTGTCTGCACACTTGTCAAAGCATTAATTCATGATTTTTATTAACCGGTATCAGTATGTAGTTACTTCGGCATTATTTTGAAATGTGTATTACAATTAAATCACGGTAAAATATGTTAATGTTGTTGTAGTTGGTATCTAGGATTTACATGGAGATACGCCCCGCTCCCTCTCCAGCGCGTCTTGTTTGAATGACAGGAGTAAACACAGCTGACAGCCGCGGTGAAACTCGAGCGATTAGAGCGATGCGAATATTGGGTAGTCTACCATAGTATTTACATCTAGATAAGCTCCTTAAAAACCATGAATTAATGCTTTGACAAGTGTGCAGACAAGACGACAGGCGAAAAACCTTTTGAAATGCGTGTTTTCTGAATGGAGATCGGATCGATCAGGCTAAACTAACCTGTAGCTGCTCCGTCCACACTCACAACAACGGCCTACAGACATAAATAAAGCAGCAACTATATTCGCCATGACACAGACAGTCTGTGGTTTGTCCAAGTTTAACTTTTGTCCAGTTTCTGAACAGATATGAGGAGCTGTGAGCTCTGAGTGTGTGCTAACGGCTGATGTGTTGGGACATGTTGGCTCTGTCCAATCATAAACAAGAAGTGTTCTCCCTAAAGGAATACCCTTTCCGTCCAATGTGAAATGCTGTGGTGTTTTCTGAAATGCTGTGGTGTTTTCTGAAATGCTGTGGTGTTTTCTGAAACGCTGTAATGTTTTGTGAAATGCTGTAGCGTTTTGTGAAATGCTGTGGTGTTTTGTGAAATGCTGTAGCGTTTTCTGAAATGCTGTTGTGTTTTCTGAAATGCTGTAGCGTTTTCTGAAATGCTGTGGTGTTTTGTGAAATGCTGCAGCGTTTTGTGAAATGCTGTTGTGTTTTCTGAAATGCTGTTGTGTTTTCTGAAATGCTGTTGTGTTTTCTGAAATGCTGTGGCGTTTTCTGAAATGCTGCGGCGTTTTGTGAAATGCTGTGGCGTTTTGTGAGCTGTAGTGTTTTGTGAAATGCTGCGGCATTTTCTGAAATGCTGCGGTGTTTTCTGAAATGCTGTTGTGTTTTCTGAAATGCTGTAGTGTTTTGTGAAATGCTGTGGTGTCTTGCACTTCAGGGCCACCATACATAACTGATCTATTGAGTCATGTCAAGTTTCACTGTAGTGGCTCTAAGTACTTACTTAGAAAATGCATACAATTCATAAAAAGGCATACCAACCAAAAAATACTTCGGACGGGGTGGACAGCTGCAGGACTTTGGTTCAGGCCTCGTCGAAGGCAGAACTTGCATATGATGCATGAAAGAGGCCTGCTGGGTTAGTGGGGAGGCTCACCTGGGTATTCGGAACCAAGACCGTATGATCTAGTTTGAAAACGAATATTATTTTTGATTTAATACTTATTGACTCCTTAAGTTTCTAAAACCTACAGTATTGTTGAAAAATAAATGTAGAAAAAGAGAATTGTATGTATTTTATATTGGCTCATGTCCTTGAAAGACAATACAGATGGAGTTACGTTTTTGTCAAACCACTCACACTTCAGTTATCCATAACTCATACTTTCATTCTTCAGGTGTCCATGTGAGCTGTCTCTAAAGTTAAAATAAGAACTGATGGACAATCAGAGGAAAATTAGCTCTGTAAAAATGTGTTGAATTTCCATCGTTGACTTCTGAAACCTCTGCAGTTATAGATTTAGATCAGAGTCTCTGCACTTTCTGCTGATGTCAAGTGGAAAACACATGTTAACCACACACTTTCGGTTAAACAGCACTGTGGTGTGAGATAATTAATACATTCTGGTTTCCACCTAAAATGTCTTGTAATTGAATATTTACGTATCCACATTTGGCCGTTAATAACCAGGCTTGCAACCCTATATTTATTTATTTTAAATGTTTGCTTGTAAGGGACAATGTAACCTTCAATAAGATGTTAACATACACAAAGTGACATAAACATAATGTACACATATATGAATACATTTTAAAGGTCACCTATTATGCAAAATCCACTTTTCATGTCTGTTATACATAAACATGTGTCCCCTCTGTAAAGAGATTCTGAAAGTTTCAGTACAAAATATTTGCTCACTTTTTGTCCTGATCCATTTATATAGAAACCTGTCTCATTTTTCATTTTCATTGAATTATTTATTTGAACCGGGACAGTGCACATTAATGAACATTTTAAACAAAATAATGTTTTTAAATGTAAATGAGCCGGATTTTAGCTTTGAGCTAGTTTCCATCCGTAGTCCCGTCACATACAACATTTATGAACATAACATTTATATACATGGCAAACAGAAATACATGATATGCGGAAAGAGCATGAGCAGCATACAAGCCACAAGGCAGTGCAATGTAGCAGCTACGACATATAAAGTGCAGGAGGAGATAAAAGAGCTACATAAAGTGCGAGAGGAGATACCCCTGTATTAAAGTGCATTTAGCGGTGATTGCACGTCTGTTTGTTTCTTAACCATTCTTTTAGTTGACCTTTAAAACTATTGAGAGTGAAACAATCCCGTATCTCAGTTGGGAGGCTATTCCACAATGAGCTGCCTTTAATGGAGAGGACATTTTGTCCAAAGGTGGTCCGTCTGTGGTGGACTTCACAGCCTCCTCTGGTTTCTGACCTAGTGCAGCGTCCAGTGTGTTTTTTGTGGATGAATTCCCCTAAGGTCCATGTAAACATTTATAAAAAAAACACATACTTTTAAAAGACTTAAAATGGTCAAAACTCAAGAAATTGTGTTTCTCTAGGATGGTACAGTGGTGGTATGAATTAGGCTTTCTGTCAAACACCTTGATAGCTCTCTTATACAGCTGTTCTATTGGTTTAAGGTTTGTGGCACAAGCAAACGACCAGTTTGTGAAACAGTATTCAATGTGGGATAGAATCATGCAGTGGAGGTATGACTTTGCAGCATTGACAGTTAAGAAAGGTCTAATTTGTTTAACATTTTGCAAGTTGAATTTAACGGTGTTGGATACTTTCTTGATATGTTTCTTAAAATTCAAGTTCGAGTCCAGTATGACTCCAAGATACTTGAAGTGGGGGACTAGTTCTATTTCTGCTCCGTTTAAAAACACATTGGATCCTTCCATTTTGACTGATCGTTTACTGAACATCATGCATACTGTTTTTTTTGCATTTAACTATAAGCAAATGTTGTTCAGCCAGTGTTGAACCTTGTCCAATGCATTTGAGAGACATGATGTGATTATTTCAGTATTTTTCCCGTGTACAAAGATGACCGTATCATCGGCATATATTTGCATATTCAACTCAGGACATACTTTCGGCAAGTCATTAATGTACAGAGAAAACAGTAATGGTCCAAGAATGGAACCTTGTGGAACCCCAACAGGGTTGACAAGGTAGGGGGATTTGGTACCGTTGACCAAAACACACTGTTTTCTGTTTGATAAGTAAGACCTAACCCACTGTATTGAATCTGCAGAAAAATTGAAATACGTCAGCTTTGTAAGGAGCACTTGGTGGTTAACTGTGTCAAAAGCCTTCCTGAGATCAAGGAAGACAGCACCTACATATGGGCTCGTGTCCAACATAGATTTAACCTTTTCCACAAAGACACAGTTAGCTGTCTCAGTGGAGTGGTGAGCACGAAAACCAAACTGCATTGGGTGGAGTGGAGCGAAACCTTTATCTAAATGGTTGGTGATTAGTTTTGACACCCATTTCTCAGCTATCTTAGAGACACAGGGGAGGATGCTGATTGGTCTGTAATTGGACATTATTGCCTTATCCCCAGATTTAAAAATCGGTGTCACTGTGGCCACCTTCCAGGATGATGGAACTTACCTCGTGCTGATTGATTTACTAGCATAGTAATTGGTTTTATTAGACTGTCAATATGTGTTTTATTGATAATAATCCAATGCAGAGGCAATAATGTAATATAATACATTATTTTATATATATATATTCATATATGTATTTTTAAATTGTCTTAAAGTTACAACCGGCCCTTTGAGTGCAGCCATAATGCTGATGTGGCCTGCGATTAAATTTAGTTTGACACCCCTGATCTAAAGTAACAGACAGAGATTCAGCACTTTTGAAACTGGGCTGAAACAGAGGGGATTATGGGATGCTACAATGCATGATCTGTTGGAGCCAAACCCTTCAGAGACATGTTTTGTATATATCTGAGACCTATAATATATTGATGTGTGAAGCAAAAAGGTTGTGGACTCAAACCAGCACAGGTGAGGTAACAACACAAGACACACATGCAGGCAAAGGCACTGGATGAATCATTTTATTCAGGACTCCACCAACATAAAGTAAGAACATTATTTGCACACAAAGAATACAGTTTATTTCTGTATTTTGACATTCACTGCTGCATTTCAATTCAATGTACAAAACTCACACCTGACAAGACGAGAAACTGATTAACATTGTAGATTCAAAATGCATATTTGCTATTTTACCGACAAGGTTTTTAGAGCTGAGAATGATATCCGTCTGGGTTTGTCAGCCATTTTTGCCATCTATTTAAAAAACACACATCAATCAGTTTGGCCTATCTGCCACGTGTGAACAATGTGGCGCTGAGAACATAAATTGAAACTTTGTCGTATAAATCTATCAAAAAATCAACAAGCACCTGCCAATAGAGAACTTTGAAGAGCATGCAGTGGAAAGTAGCAGTGAGATAATGTGGTGTGTGTGTGTGTTAAACTGGGGTAAGAGGGACACACTGTCACACCATACAGTACGTAGACAATCTCATATTTTATTTTTAAAATAAGTGTCCGATATCTTAAAGACTTAGCGAATGATAAATATTATAATATTTTGTTGGTCTTTCAAAAATCTGGACACAATGCTAGCCACTTTAATTTGTATTGTTGTTTCATTAAAATATATAATTAAAGTACTTGGTAATAACCTAAGCAGATTGGCAATATAGTTTAAGGGAAATGTTACTCAAGCAGAAATAATACACCTTTGCTGCTCCAGTGAGTATTTGAAAGAGCAGGGAAATGTTTGAGGGAATTCAAAATAAATCATGTCTATCACAAAAACTATAACGGACTGCAACAATAGAGGTCTATGTCACAGAGAAAAAAGAAATACCAGACATTGACTACACTGGAAATATGTTATAATAGGATCTGAAAATGTTGTTTTATCTTCTATTACGACTTTTCTTAATCACAGTCCCACAAGACTTTCCCTTTAAGAGTTTCTGTGACAGAAGACAGTGGGGAAAAAAAGACTAACATAACTAAAAGGTTTGTCACTGTAACATAATGTGTTCTTGGTTGTGGTTTGTTGCAGCGACTATGAACATTTGAATCTTATGACCACCAAAAACAAAAGGGACACCTCAATACTCACGACCCAAGAGACTCTTCCCCTCATGACCTGTTTTGCTTGTAAATTATGGCAATGGGCATACAGACTGTGAGGATTCGTCATTGTGCTGTTAAAATACATTCATATAAGCATCTGTATACCCAAACCAAGAGAGACCGCCTGGCTTACATTCATCTGCAGGTCACCCTTGTCTCTTCTCTGGGAGATAACTGATGGCAGCGTACTCTGTTTGACTTGAATTCATCTCCATAACTGCTGAAGTTCTTTTGGGAAAGTCCAGGACGCTGTAGACCAGAGGAGGTGCAGGCACAATGCTTGCAACTGTTTCCTGTGAAAGAAGATCGTAAAGTTAAAGAATTTCTGCAGATGTTTTATTTTTGAGATTTTAAAGAAGGGAAGAGATGAACGTGGTCTGACCTGTGCTGTGGGATTAGAGCTTTGTTGTGCTGGTGCTGGTTGTTTATCTGTGGAGGAAGCAAAGTCCGTGAACTATTGAGGCAGGAAAATAATCAACTTGAAAAAAAAAAAAATGGAAGGTTGACTTTAATTAAATGTATTATGTCAACAGATTTCACATAAATGTATAAGTTAGTTGTAAGAAATAATATTACGTTTATAACTAACCTAATACAGTTATGTGACATTTGTTGACTTAATACATTTAATTAAAGTCAAAGCTTTAGTTTGTTCACTGTGCAAAACATGGTTTTGTATTTACCACTGATAAACATGTTGCTGTGTTATAATGCCGGACATTTTAAATCATGTTAAAGGGTAGAAAACCTTAATAGAGCTGAGAAAGAAAGAGCAGGAGGCAAAACAAATATGTTAATAGTAAAATAAATATGTAGCTTGCTTTAAATTTATTCTGTTTTTTATACAAATCAAACAAACAAGATATATTCTTTAATTTGCACAAAACCTGGCCGGCTGTTTCCCCCTGTCTCAAGTACTTATGCTAGACTAAAATAATGGTCTCCTGACTACAAGTCTAAACTAATACACAGACATGAGAGTTTTATCAATCTTCTTCCTAAAAAATTGTAATACCAGTAAAAGTGTCATGACATCAATTGAAACTCTATAACAGCTTTTTTTGTTTTTGTATTTTAGTGATAGATATTGATGACTAACTCAAATCTATTCATTCATCTCTATGGTTTTAATAAGTATGACATTATCATTCTTATTTATTTTGCTTTTATCTCTCAAACACAGACAAACTCTGGTACAAGCTTTAGAAAGCCAAATAGGCTGTTATCTTGGATATTTAAGCTTGTAAATTAGAACAATACACACAAACATCTGTAAATGTGCAGAGGTGCGACAATTTAAGACTCATAGCCCAATCTGTGGACAATGGTTAGGCGAGGTTAGCATGACATGGTACAGGATCGCACCGTCAGCAAAAAGCTGCATTTGTATACATGCACGGGAAATAATCAAGTGTGGTTTTCTGAAGTTGCAGAGGCTGTCGAAAAATTTCAAAGAGTCAATGTTCCTACCTACAGCAAGTAGGGCAAAGGCGTTTGTATCTGAAGTGAAAGCACTTTGGTAGGCCTATAGTGAACAAATAATGCATTTTTTCCACCCATCCCTTTGTGATAGTAGACATGTGCAGGAACTGGAGGAGGAAGTTCTTCAAAAGCTGTGAATCATTGTGTATCAAAGGATGTGAAACTGCAACCTTGCTCGCATTTTTTAGCATCTTACCACACAATTGCAATTTTTTTCCAGATAACAAATATTCTTCTTTCCTCTCTTGAAAAAATACTGCACGCTTCAAACAGGAAGTTTAACAATGACTGTCTTAAAGGAATCTTAACGATGGGGTCCATCAATTACATTTTATTTCAGATTTTCATAATTCAGCTGTCACTTCTGTGCCATCTGAGATTAGTTTGAATTACTGTTGTAGCAACATTACATGAAAACTGCAGTCAGTGTTACAACCCTGAGATACTGAAATGTTAAGTTATGGCAGACAAGTAAAACATATGAAGAGAGGAAAAGTACTGATGCACAGTCACTTTCAATACCTTTGTGTCTCAAGATACACCAGATCAACAAGGGAAGAACTGCAGCCAACAGCACAACAGAAGAAACCAAAAGGACAGCGAGGAATGGAAAGGAGGACACTCCGGCATTTCCACTGTCAGGTTCAGGTTTTGTAGTTACTGTAGGTTTTGAAAGGAAATTAATAAACACTCATATCAATACAGGAAAAAAAAAATCTTACCACTATGACATACATTATTAAATATACATCATAATTGTTTAAAATACACTAAATTGCTGTATATTCCATTGAAATTCCTATAATTATATTTTTCGAAATAGTGTCTTTGATTTGAGCAAAAATGAACATGCAATTGTATTCTACATGGCTCTTATTTTCATAATGTCCATGATAAAACAAAAACTAGCATCATGTAAATGAATGTCAGTACTTTTTTCCAAATTTGAAATGTGATGAAGACAATATTGGTCTGATAGTCCGTCAGCCAGGGTACTGACTAAAGTATCACAATATTGGATATTGCCATTACATGTGGTTCAGAAATCTTACCCGTGCTTCTGTTCTCCACTCGGACGTCCAGCTCTATCCTTCTACTTTTTTCGATGATGCCGTCCACAAACAAACTGGCCCAGTAAATTCCTTTTTGACTTAGACTGAGATTAGTCATTTCAAAATAGACAGACATATTTTTAGGGTAGACTGTAAGATTGCCTTCTATTTTGCCATTTAAATACCCAGCAATCTTTTGTCCTTCGTCTGTTGAGTTTTTTTTTTTATAAATTGCAAAACCTGTTACACTGACACTGGAGTTAAATGGGAATTCAAGGGTGATGTTGCCGCCGAGGCTCCCCACCATCTCTTGGCTCAGCCCTGTATGGGAGCAAAACCCTGAATGGGAATGAGCATGAGGAAAAAATGATTATTTGACTTATAAAAGTAATGTGTAACTGCACTATGGTTTGTTAATCTGTGGCCTATACAGTGCACACGTCGAACATTATTTGGAGTGAAATTTAGCTGGCAATATAGCCAATAACTTTAGCTACAATATAATTATCCTATCTGTAGTCAAAACATATCTATTTTCATGAACATCTTGGTATTTCAGTTTTTTATACCTTATATCTAAATTAATTATTATTTTTGGTTTTTTTCAAAGCTGAAGTGCAAAGTGCAGTATTTCAATGTTGTTGGCAGTAGTCCGCCTATTAGAAGCAAAATATTAAGACATTACATCTTTTATATCTGTTTATAATTTCTTGTAAAGTCTCAGTACGTGTTATAGTGTGTTGTGTTAACATGTCAGGATGTCATTTCATTTAATAATAAGCTTAAAGATCTCCTGACGCTGAATTAAGGATATTTCCTGTACATTACCACCCACACTAACCCGTGCACTAACCATGCATCCTGTCTGTCATTATAGCATGCACATGAGCCAGAATCAGTTTTACTTAAAAAAAGGTTTAAATAAATATGTATTACTTTATTTATTTGTATTATCTGATTTCACATGTCCCTTTTTATGGTGCTAAATGTGCAGTGGTAAAACAACAACAAACACCAAACTGGGAACGCATAATCTCAGGACAACATTTCCATAACTGTGTGTTATTATTAACAGCATTATCACGCGTGTTATAGGCAATACAATTCTAGCAGAAGAAATACAAATATTTCACAGAGAGCAATAACAATGAAACAAAAGCAGGTGAAAGCCAACAAAAGTGTAAAACATCAACCAGGAGAAGAAGACAGCTTACCGTTGAACACCATGTGAGCTGTGAGGATCAGAACTAACCCGAGAGGCTTTGACATGATGTTGTTAACCATGGCAGAGGAACTGTGTTGCTGGCAGGCCAGTGATGTGGCTCAAGACTATTTCTGATTTATATGAGCTGACAGTTTGATATTTCTACCAACGTTTGGTGCCTGAGCGGAGGAAACAGTTGACAGGAACTAGCACAAACACCATTTATCTACCAACAGCACCAGAAGCACCTCCTGTAACGGAAGTCTCCGAAGAGGTTCATAGACATGTGGTGCAGGCGGTGAGGAGCTCAGCCGAGGAGGAAGTCGCACACTTAATGTGTGGGATTTCAGGAAGAGCAAATTGTTTCTTTTAAGTTTTAAGTTACATTTTACTCACAGAAAAGAGTCTCATAGATCACTGTGTGTAAGGTAACTGTACATACTCATAGCCTGTATAAGCTTTTTTTTAATTAAATACTTTGAAGAAAGTCAACAGCAACTTCTCAATGTCCATGTTACCTAAGATCATAAGATTAAATGATTTAACAATCAGATTCCTTCTTTGAATTAGCATTGTTGTTACTTGCAATAGTCTTTTGTCACCCACTTCAATAAGTAAACAATACGAATAAACAACCTCTAACCTTTTTTATTCATTACAAAAACAATCAGTACATAGAATTATACATTATTATCAAATATTACTATGCTAATGGCTCCATCAATGAAAATCAACACACACATATACACACACACACACACACACATAAAAAATTGAACTGTTGAAACAACTTCAAACATTCATCTGCTACTCAGTAGTATGTATCTAATACCTAATATATATATATATATCATTCCAATAACTTGTATATAGACTCTATTGCACTATTCCACATCATAACTTTATTTTATTTTATAACTATTATTCTTTTTGTATTGCTCTTGCTCTTATTGTTATTATGTTATTATGTTGCATTGTTGGAGAAGCCTGTGACATAAGATTTTCAACTACATAATTACTCTGTAACTATGTCAGATTGACAATAAAGAACCTTGAACCTTGAACACACACACACACACACACATACACACGTGACACTTCAACCACACAAGAGGAAGTGGGGGTCTTTGAAGTCACAATTGTATGACTTTTAGACAAAACTGCATGTATCAGAGGGGGATTCCTTCATTCCTTTGTAGGATGTTTAGTTTCAGTGGTTGCTGTAGTTGCTGGTCAGCGTCTGTTCTCACTTTCCACATTATCACTTCGAAAATCACTGCACAGGAAGACCCCGTGTCTTTAACCACTAAAGATGATGACTCAGCTCCGAGGGGCACACACCTAGGTGATGTCATGCTCCTCCTGTCAATCACCGCCATGTTGGAGGGCTTTGAAATGTTCACAGTGGCAGCCCGCAGCTTCCTTTTCTATAGAAACAAAAAGACAAATACACCGATTTGATTCATTTTTGTGAATCAGGACCCCCCAATGGTTGCTGACTTTAACCATAAATATATTGTAAATGTTTTCTCAGAAATGACACAAAAGCAGATATTCTTCTTTATGCACTAATGTGACTGTTGTGCGCAATTAAAGACCTGAGATGCTCACCGGATACGTTGGAGTTCTGTCTTCGATTTTGCACCTGAAATGTATGGTTTTAGGCTCAAACCATTTGCTTAGGAGAAGTTAAAGTCTTCTCATTTTGTTCAGTATGTTTGGATAAACAAAGTTTCTAAAAACCGTCCGTGACTCTAATCTGTCAACAAAATAATACAAATAATTTGTACCTGTCTTTCTTTAATATTCATTATTCTTTAGCACACATTTAATAATAATAATAATAATAATAATAATAATAATAATAATAATAATAATAATAATATTAATAACTTGGACTTATATAGCACCTTTCATGATACCCAAGGACGCTTTGCAATAGGAAGGGGGCCGTAGGGGGGACAAAAAGAAAAACAGTGACACTGACTGGTGCAATACAAATGATTGTCTCATTGCACATTTAAACCTAAACTGTCAGAAAACTTCTAATACCAAAGATCATTGTCTGAATGTAAATAATCAACTGGGGAAGCAATATTTCTTAGTTGAAATGTTAACCTATTCACAGTGGGCCCTAAAGTTAAAACAAGTTATTTATGAAACAACTCATTCAAAACATCATAATCAGGATTTTAAACAGATAAACTGATGCTTTCCTGACAGTAAAAACATTTACTTTGTTATGACTCAAAGTCAATGAGGGTGTTGTGCTTTGCCTTGGTGATTTATCATGAGCTAAAGTAGTTTTCTGTCTGCTACAGAAACTACATTGTAATTTAGGTTTGTACATTTCTGACGCTGTTGCTTGAGAAACAAATGTGATCATTCCATTCTTATCATTGTTTTTCTATGCCACCTTGTGGGCTGAATGGTACGATGCAAACTCGCAAAACACAGACACGTGATCGCACCTCCCTTTTCTCTCTCACACTCTCAGACTCATGCAGAAACATAGATGCTCACACTTATTGCCACTCGCTTCCCCTGTGATGTTATTTCGCATTTCCTGCATCACAGTTTATTGAAATGATTTCCCCTGTGCACCTCGTACACCATGTTTTGTGTTGCTTTTATTATCCAACCACAATAAAACAGCCTTTTTGTGATAGTAGACATGTGCAGGAACTGGAGGAGGAAGTTCTTCAAAAGCTGGGAATCATTGTGTATCAAAGGATGTGAAACTGCAACCTTGCTAGAATTTTTTAGCATCTTACCACACAATTGCAATTTTTTTCCACAGATAACAAATATTCTTCTTTCCTCTCTTGAAAAAATACTGCACGCTTCAAACAGGAAGTTTAACAATGACTGTCTTAAAGGAATCTTAACGATGGGGTCCATCAATTACATTTTATTTCAGATTTTCATAATTCAGCTGTCACTTCTGTGCCATCTAAGATTAGTTTGAATTACTGTTGTAGCAACATTACATGAAAACTGCAGTCAGTGTTATAACCCTGAGATACTGAAATTTTAAGTTATGGCCGACAAGTAAAATATATGAAGAGAGGAAAAGTACTGATGCACAGTCACTTTCAATGCCTTTGTGTCTCAAGATACACCAGATCAACAAGGGAAGAACTGCAGCCAACAGCACAACAGAAGAAACCAAAAGGACAGCGAGGAATGGAAAGGAGGACACTCCGGCATTTCCACTGTCAGGTTCAGGTTTTGTAGTTACTGTAGGACTAAAGGAAATTAATAAACACTCATATCAATACAGAAAAAAAATGTTCTTACCACTATGACATACATTATTAAATATACATCATAATTGTTTAAAATACACTAAATTGCTGTATATTCCATTGAAATTCCTATAATTATATTTTTCGAAATAGTTTCTTTGATTTGAGCAAAAATCAACATGCAATTGTATTCTACATGGCTCTTATTTTCATAATGTCCATGATAAAACAAAAACTAGCATCATGTAAATGAATGTCAGTACTTTTTTCCAAATTTGAAATGTGATGAAGACAATATTGGTCTGATAGTCCGTCAGCCAGGGTACTGACTAAAGTATCACAATATTGGATATTGCCATTACATGTGGTTCAGAAATCTTACCCGTGCTTCTGTTCTCCACTCGGACGTCCAGCTCTATCCTTCTACTTCTTTCGGTGATGCCGTCCACAAACAAACTGGCCCAGTAAATTCCTTTTTGACTTAGACTGAGATTAGTCATTTCAAAATAGACAGACATATTTTTAGGGTAGACTGTAAGATTGCCTTCTTTTTTGCCATTTAAATACCCAGCAATCTTTTGTCCTTCGTCTGTTGAGTTTTTTTTTTTATAAATTGTAAAACCTGTTACACTGACACTGAAGTTAAATGGGAATTCAAGGGTGATGTTGCCGCCGAGGCTCCCCACCATCTCTTGGCTCAGCCCTGTATGGGAGCAAAACCCTGAATGGGAATGAGCATGAGGAAAAAATGATTATTTGACTTATAAAAGTAATGTGTAACTGCACTATGGTTTGTTAATCTGTGGCCTATACAGTGCACACGTCGAACATTATTTGGAGTGAAATTTAGCTGGCAATATAGCCAATAACTTTAGCTACAATATAATTATCCTATCTGTAGTCAAAACATATCTATTTTCATGAACATCTTGGTATTTCAGTTTTTTATACCTTATATCTAAATTAATTATTATTTTTGGTTTTTTTTCAAAGCTGAAGTGCAAAGTGCAGTATTTCAATGTTGTTGGCAGTAGTCCGCCTATTAGAAGCAAAATATTAAGACATTACATCTTTTATATCTGTTTATAATTTCTTGTAAAGTCTCAGTACGTGTTATAGTGTGTTGTGTTAACATGTCAGGATGTCATTTCATTTAATAATAAGTTTAAAGATCTCCTGACGCTGAATTAAGGATATTTCCTGTACATTACCACCCACACTAACCCGTGCACTAACCATGCATCCTGTCTGTCATTATAGCATGCACATGAGCCAGAATCAGTTTTACTTAAAAAAAGGTTTAAATAAATATGTATTACTTTATTTATTTGTATTATCTGATTTCACATGTCCCTTTTTATGGTGCTAAATGTGCAGTGGTAAAACAACAACAAACACCAAACTGGGAACACATAATCTCAGGACAACATTTCCATAACTGTGTGTTATTATTAACAGCATTATCACGCGTGTTATAGGCAATACAATTCTAGCAGAAGAAATACAAATATTTCACAGAGAGCAATAACAATGAAACAAAAGCAGGTGAAAGCCAACAAAAGTGTAAAACATCAACCAGGAGAAGAAGACAGCTTACCGTTGAACACCATGTGAGCTGTGAGGATCAGAACTAACCCGAGAGGCTTTGACATGATGTTGTTAACCATGGCAGAGGAACTGTGTTGCTGGCAGGACAGTGATGTGGCTCTAGATTATTTCTGATTTATATGAGCTGACAGTTTGATATTTCTATCAACGTTTGGTGCCTGAGCGGAGGAAACAGTTGACAGGAACTAGCACAAACACCATTTATCTAACAACAGCACCAGAAGCACCTCCTGTAACGGAAGTCTCCGAAGAGGTTCATAGACATGTGGTGCAGGCGGTGAGGAGCTCAGCCGAGGAGGAAGTCGCACACTTAATGTGTCCAATAACTTGGACTTATATAGCACCTTTCATGATACCCAAGGACGCTTTGCAATAGGAAGGGGGCCGTAGGGGGGACAAAAAGAAAAACAGTGACACTGACTGGTGCAATACAAATGATTGTCTCATTGCACATTTAAACCTAAACTGTCAGAAAACTTCTATTACCAAAGATCATTGTCTGAATGTAAATAATCAACTGGGGAAGCAATATTTCTTAGTTGAAATGTTAACCTATTCACAGTGGGCCCTAAAGTTAAAACAAGTTATTTATGAAACAACTCATTCAAAACATCATAATCAGGATTTTAAACAGATAAACTGATGCTTTCCTGACAGTAAAAACATTTACTTTGTTATGACTCAAAGTCAATGAGGGTGTTGTGCTTTGCCTTGGTGATTTATCATGAGCTAAAGTAGTTTTCTGTCTGCTACAGAAACTACATTGTAATTTAGGTTTGTACATTTCTGACGCTGTTGCTTGAGAAACAAATGTGATCATTCCATTCTTATCATTGTTTTTCTATGCCACCTTGTGGGCTGAATGGTACGATGCAAACTCGCAAAACACAGACACGTGATCGCACCTCCCTTTTCTCTCTCACACTCTCAGACTCATGCAGAAACATAGATGCTCACACTTATTGCCACTCGCTTCCCCTGTGATGTTATTTCGCATTTCCTGCATCACAGTTTATTGAAATGATTTCCCCTGTGCACCTCTTACTCCATTTTCTGTGCTGCTTTTATTATCCAACCACAATAAAACGGCCTTTTTGTGATATTTCTTGAGATTAATTACTGCGGTGAACGTGTTTCTCTTGTTGCTGCTCATTTAAAAAAACGTTTAATATTATTACATAAATTCTCTAGTTAAATACAATTTGCATTTACATGCTTTTCATCAGCTTTTAATGATATGGTATCCATTTGAAAACTAACTTTACATAACATTTGCAGCAAATACAGTAGGTTTCAATAGTTTTGTAATAGAGTCAATGAAGAAGTAAGTGAAGGCCTCAGGGTGAAGTGCTTTCAGTGTCTCAGCTGAAGGCTGGAGCCATTATTATGTCATCAAGAGAGGCATCTTCACTGCACTGCGTGCATTTATCTTACATTGCTGAGACATTTACTCATGTGAAGGTCCCTTTTACAACCGGGAAGCATTATTGTATTGCAGTAAAGGTTGACATTGACAAATTAACCCTTAAATGGATACTACTGGGCAGTGTAAACATCATGCTTTCAGAAGCAGGTGAGAAAAAGAAAAGGCCTTGGGTAGTTTTAGATGACAAGCTTTCCCTGTTTTGTATAAGGTGTTTCCCTAGGCTGTTACTATCCTTTGATTAGCATAGAGCATTTGCATACTGTTAATATACTCTGGTTAGCATTAGTCATGATGGGTACATGAGTTATTTGTCCTTTCCATGCTGTCAATCCCTATATGCTCTCCTTTTTATCTCTGTTGCAGCCACATTAGTAATTAGTATTATTATGATTACAACAACACCATTTTACTGTGGATTCATGGTGTATAAAATGGTAGGTGAACTTCTAAATCTGGCAGAGCTGGTGTTATTGCTTCCAGATTTGGCAACCCCTCGTAATTTTGACCAGGATGGTCATAATCTCACAAAAATCACACTGGTGTTAGTTATGACCTTTTTGTTAGACCAAACAAAAGCACTTTAATCTGGGCCTATCAAGTGAAAATGGAAAGGGGTGCTTCTGAATCTGGCAGAGCTGGTGGATTTTGAACACCCCCTTGTAACTTTGGCCATCATCCGAAAGATGTACATTATGTGGACCAACTTTCACTTTGCAATCCTAATCTTCAGAAGTGTACCACAGTTTACTTTTTATGGGTGAGCAGAGCAGACAAAACAAAACATGATGTAATGTGAAAACACTGCACATCACTAGATCAAAAGCACAACCTAAAATCTGACTGCGCTGCCATTTGCTGAGGGACATTTTTGAAATGGTGTTTAGCTGAGCTTCATCTCACACTGCAGAGATTGGAGGATGTACACACACACACACACACACACACACACACACACACACACACACACACACACACACACACACACACACACACACACACACACACACACATACACACACACACACACACACACACACACACACACACACACACACACACACACACACACACTGAAGGGGAGGGAAGTGCAGGAAAGCCCTAATCGCCATGGTAACTGAGAAACCGACTCTGCTATTAAATAGTGCTCTAACAAAACAATTACCAAGCAATTACATATACACACACACACGCACGCACACACACACACACGCACGCACGCACACACGCACGCACGCACACGCACACGCACACACACACACACACACACACACACACACACACACACACACACACACAGCCGCACAAACCCAGATCAGGTTCGACAGGTGGTTTCAGACAGAACTTCGACAGAGAAAGCCATCTCACAGTCACATTTTTTCAAGCCAAATGTAACCAAAACGACTTTAGGTGGTGTTGTGTCCCAACAATGGTACGTTTCCAGACAAGAGCTTTACATTTTTCCTCAACTTTTGCTCTGAAAAGCTCACTGGAGTTGTAGGATACTGATGAAAATGATGTGATCTGTCTGTAACTGTCAGCTTAAAAGTTCATATTGGCGATATGACAATGTTACGTATATGTAACAAACAACTGGCCCCCATTTATTGCAATGTAAAAAATGTCCTTATTGATAGCAGGCTGCAGAAAGTGTACACATTCCACAGCCATTGTGTCTGATTTGTTTCCTCACTGATTGCAGTTACTGTAAGTCACTCTGGATAAAAGTGTCAGGTAAATGTAATGTGATGTGTGTATGAACTTGCTAGTTGGTCACTATTGCAGTACTTGGATCACACTCATATCCTAGCAACGGGGGAAACCATCACCAGCTCCCTAGCAACCAGGAAGACACTGGTGCCATCGCAGTCAGTGGTTGCCATTGGAGATGCAGGCATTCCATAGAAAGAAATCTGGGGTGCAAATAATAACATCACCCCCCCCCCACCCCCATATTAAAAACTGGATGGATAAAAAAGAAAAACACAAAACCTTTCCTTATGTCAAAACACCTTGATGTTAATTGTTGTTCAACCTTATCTTGTTGTTGAAATTAATATATAAAGATTACTGTTACATATGTGTATTTTGTATAATTGTGTTATGTAATGTATTTTTTATTTTGTTATCTTTATGCATGCTTTTTTAGTTAATATTAAGCTGTCTTTGGCTCTTTTCTTGCTCTAACAGATGCAAATGTCCCCTCTGTGGGACGAATAAAGGTATTCTGATTCTGATACTGATTAGATAACATCTGTGAAAGGGTTTAGAGGGTTTTCCATTTGAAGTACGATCAGGGAAACTTTGTGTTAGCAGTAATACTTGCCTACACACAAACACAAACACACACTCACGCACGCACGCACGCACGCACGCGCGCACACACACACACACACACACACACACACACACACACACACACAGTATGAGAAGCATCATGTGTGGCAGCTGTCAGAGGTATTCCCCAGCCTCATCACGAACAGCAGTCTGCCAGTTTTCACGGCTCTGCTTGATTTTGTTTCAGAGCACAGAGAGAAATAAATAATAGTCATATATGAAGCAGACATCTCATCAAACAACACAAGTGAAATATTTTATTTTGGCGTCGTGTCATTGTTGATAATTAGCATGGGGCATCAAGTAGATTAGCTTATTTCATTATGATAGGACATTGTTTAAACAAATTAATTTAAAAAAAGTACTCCCTCTTTCTTTCTGATAACAGGAATCATCAGGTTGGTTCATTACAATTCAGTCCCAACGACAACTTTTCCCTATATCGTCCTCACCCAACCTCACCAGTGTTGACTGTCACTAGCCTCCCAAATTGATTTTGCCTCCAATAGACTCCCCCTTTCTCCCTCCCCACCAGTCACATGGAGGTTAGTGGTGACCCGTCGCTCCCTCGGTTGTGTGCCAGTCGCTCTCTAGTGCGCCTTGGAGACAGAGGAGAAGCGAGACGCGCAAAACTGCCTGGGCAAGGCATTTGTTTTAGTAACTGCGTTTAGCCGGAGCCTGTCTCGTCACGGGGGGAAACAAATCGCCACGGAATCCGCTGAAGCCGCTGATAAACGATACTCTGGTAAAGGGTTATTTTTAGTCACCCAACGCAGCGATGAGTGTCTGGAAGCCGGCCGTGAGAGCGCCTTGTGCCGCGCTGTGGTGAGCGAAGACCCCGCTTGGAGATCAACAAGAATGAAGTCAAGGCGAGATAAACTGAAGATCCCCTCCCTGACTCTGGAGTAAGTTCTGCTTTTTAATCTCATCTTCTGCTGCAGGTGTCAAACCGCAAACTGCCATATGAAAAAGTTGCCTTTTTAAGAGTTGTAATAAGAGTGAAATCATTTATGTAGCCTTGGTGCGTAGGCTACTCCACTGTCAACAATCAGACTTTTTACAAAGTGGTTGCTTTTGAAACCATCATAAACAACCTCCAAATGCTGTGAGATCAAAACAGCAGTTGAGTCAGATGGAAATGCAAATAGTCTCTCATGTTTTCTCCCAGGATGATGGCATTTGCCTGAGGCTTCATTATCTAGTTACATTCTAAGTTTACTCTTGTATTTTGAATGTTTACACGCAGGGTTGCAGTTTAAATGAGTTACAGGTGTCTCATCCATTGCCTGTTTCTTTTAAAAAATCTAAGTATTATCCACGTTATCAGTAAAACTAACAGTAAAGGCTGTAATTTGTCAGTTCCACTGCCTGCATGTTAATGTTTAAACCCCACTGGATGTACAGAAATGGAGCTTTCCATCTTTGAAGTGTAACTATGTTTGCACAATGCATGTCTAGTTAAAACTGCAAAACTACTGAAACAAAAGGGAACTTTAATGATGAGTTACTTATTTTATAAGTATTAGTCAGCAGTTGATTTGTCTGTGGTACTACTTACATTATACGTTTTTACAGATCTTTAATCAGACCAAATGTATTGATTAGCTCTTCAGGTAAAGCTCATGCCTTGGTGTGAATTATGTCCTTGTGATGTTTTGTTTTCTCTATTAGCTCTATTGTCTCCTTTTTTTTTTATCTCACATGAAGTCCATGATTCCTGCATGAATCACATTCTCCCCCTCACAGCACCAAGATGGACAAATGGCTCTTTAGGAGAACAGATATTTTATTTCCTCATAATTGCCAATCTGTGAATCCTTTCTCGATCAAAGGACATGGCTGCAGTCTTATGTCCGCCCACTCTTCCTTCTTCCTACAGAGTGAATATAGCCTTTTTTTATGAAGAAAGAGGGGGGTACCTGCTGCCCACTAGATGGTGATCCATAAGGCGTAGGAGCTCCCTGCTTACATCCCCATTCTCTGATCCATCCATCAGCCTCCTCAGTGGATTATCTCAGCAGAGCATGCGCTGCCTGTTTTTTACATGTATTTTCATTTTTAGGCACTTAGCTGCTCCCGCGCAGAGATACAGAGGAGGTGTCACGCTCTGCACGCAGGGAGGGGCTCAGGGTTTTACTGGTTGCTGTTGATGGGGGCATCAGTCCATACACACAGCGGCTTGCTACCATGGCATCACATTGCTGTTTGTATTCAGACTTACTTATACAAAAACGTGTGCATTGCAAGTGGGCCTATTTACACATTAACTTTCCTGCAAAATATTTTACTCTATAACTGAGATGCCACAATACCATTTAGAAGATGCAGATACTTCTGAATGCATTCCTGCAATTGCTTGCTATGATTTTTATTTTGGCATTAAAGGCAATCCTTTCATTGTTGCTACTTAATTTCAGAGGATGCCTAAACATCTGTGCAGATCAGAAATTCACTGTAAATGTCACCAATGAGTCAATTTGAGATGTTATTTTCTCAGTTTACACTCTGGACAGGAGTGTCGATGAAGCGCAGACCAAATGGAAATGAGGGGCCATTACTCACTCAAGCACCACCGAGAGCTTTGGTTTAAGGGTCTGAAAGAGAAAATGTGTTAAGATGAAATACGACGTAATGAGTTGCATGTGTTTTGTAATTATGAGCCGACACTACAGTATTAGGAGTCTTCGTGCAAGGAGTTGTTTTTCCTACCATCCTCACTGCATTACTATGACAACACGTTCATTAGTGCTTTGGTAGCCAGTGCTGTGTTTAGCACTGAGACAATAGCAGCACTGTGGAGCCCACAAGGCAGAGCTTATGAGCAGTGAAATCAATAGAAAGCAGCTTCTGCGCTTGGTCAGCATATGGAAGATGCAGACCTTAGGATGGCTGAGCATGCATATTTTGATGCAAAGATAGAGCACTAAGATGTTAAATGGTATAAAGTATTTATCTTAGAAAGTACAGTTTGAGGATTTTCTTTAGGAAACCAAGGTTTATTCTTCTTTGGAAATCAAGCCTAGACTTCATAACATGCGTGTGTTGCCATATAGCAGACACTCCCTAACACTGTTAAAGGATGCATTAGATGTTAAGTAAACACGTGTTGGACGATGATACTTCCGTTCTGGTGTGTTGTCACCCAGCTGCCCACTTCCCATGGTGGTAGAGTTCATGAGAGGTTAGAATCTGACCAATCAGATGCAGTGTTGCATCCTGCCACCCTGCAACAAATATTGCAGGTGTCTGTCACCCTCTGCTGTTTATGACTACCAACTAGAGCAAAAATCCACCTCTAACCCTCAACCAAAGCTCTGCTGCTGACTGATGACAGACGCCAGCCTGCTCCTCCTGTGCTGCGTCAGCGCACTAATCCATGCAAACATGTCTTTTCTTACAGTTTGTCACCTACATGCCAGAGCCCCACTCTTCTGAGCCCATGCAGCCCCTGCAGTCCCTGCAGCCCCTTGCAAACCCTTCATCCCTGGAGGTAAGACACTCAGGTCACACACAGACTGATCATTTAGAGTTAAATGCCTTTTTAAAAAAGGATATCATCAACAAGTCAGTTCACCACAAAACCAACAATTTACTGATCCTTTTAAAAATTTGGATTGGAATTTTTTGAAACACTACCAGTATCTCCGTAACCATAAATGATCATACAGCAGAACATTATTATCTATATAGCTAAATCCTGATAAAGCTACAAATGTGGTGGTTACTGGTTATCCCTTCATTACCGTGTATTCAATCCCACATACATCTAGACTAGAGTACCAAATGTCTATTATCCACCGCTGAAAATAGTTCACAATAAATAAACCACTTACTCCTGTTTGAGTTATGTTTACTAAAAACAACATACCAATCGCTTTACATTTTATCTTGCTATTTGGGCTAGCTATTTGTTTAAATAATAATAAAAAGCTAGCCTTCTGCTACATTTTAATTGTAATAACATATGACAAAGTATAAGTTCCTAAAAATGTACAACTCTTGGAAAAAATGAATATAAGTCTCTGTTGTTGTTTTTTATATATGAAGGTGGTTAAGCAGTGGATTCACCCATCAAGTATTAGTTGTCTCTAAGTCTATGTGGGTTGCTTGGCAACGGTTCTGGGTGCTGTGGAGGAAGGCAACACTGCAAACAGAGGCGGCTGCATCCTGCATGTCTCTGTGAGCAGTGCTGCTGTCACACCACACACTGTACCGTAATGAATCCCATTTGCTCTGTTGAAAAATGAGCAAATTTTGTGTGGGAATGCTAAAATCGAACGTGATAATCATGAATTCCACAATGCTCTTTTCAGACTAAAGCAATGTACCGGCAGTTCGCACATTTGTTGGCAACATTCTTCACAGCATTTTGCATTGGAGAACCCCCGTGTTGTTTCACCTTCCAGAAACATGTTCATTCTCTTGCATCAGATTTTATATTTGTATACAAGTAAATTGCTTCCTGGCATCAACCCTGGAATCTGATATAAATCAATCAATCAATGTTTATTTATATAGCCCAATATCACAAATGTTACATTTGTCTCAGTGGACTTCACAGTTTGTACAGAATATCAGTATGACAATACAACACCCTCTGTCCTTAGACCCTCACATCGTACAAGGAAAAACTTCCAAAGAAGGAAAAACCCCACAGTTTAAAGGGGAAAATGGGAGAAACCTCAGGGAGAGCAACAGAGGAGGGATCCCTCTCCCATGACGGACAGACGTGCAATAGATGCCGTGTGTAAATTGAAAAGATAATACATTTACAACATAGGTAGACCAAATGTTTGGAAATGCATGTGTCTATAATAAGAAGATGAATCCACAAGGATATCAACAATCCTGTGGGAGCCATCAGGGAAGTAGTATGATGAAAGTCAGGCAGGACCACAGTGACAGGTTCATCCACGACTCAGGATCCCGGCGTAGATAGACACCAAAAAGAAATTTGGGGGAAGCTGGGTTATTCGGAACACGAGAGTACACAGGTACAGACAGAGAGAAGGAAGAAGTAAGGTGTCCCCCGACAGTCTAAGCCTATAGCAGCAAAACTAGGGGCTGAATCTAATCAGCCCTAACTATAAGCTTTATCAAAAAGGAAGGTCTTAAACGCACTCTTAAAAACGGATATGTTGGCATTTTATTATTATGGCATCTTTATGTGGAAGACTCATACAATGAAAAGCAACATGATACTATTAAAACTGTACAAATACTTTCAAAATATTTCCACAGTTTGGCAGCCGCAAAAATAACGCCACAATCACCTTTATCCTTAAGCTCTGTGTAAGATGTAACCAATACGCCTGATTAGTGGTGGCAGTGGCATACTGCAAAAACAACATTTATATTATATAATATATCTGTTTTTAGGTATTCCTTAAATTCCTAATGTGTCTATGTCAATTACAAAATAGATTATATATAATAAAGAAAATCGGTCCCTTGCAAACTAAGTATAGGTCTTGACATCTACCCTATGTTTTCAACCAATCGTCTGCAGTACATCACATAAAGATAGTTTGAGTCCAAATTCAAAACAAATACAAATAAATAAAATATGTTTTAGTTGTGTTTGCTACTACACACAGCATTCCAGCTACAGTATATCAATACGTGATGTTGTGATCTGATATGATTTAAAAAAGAATAGTACTGGGTATATTTGAGCTATATGCAATGACCACTAGAGGTAGTATATGCAGTGGCATGTACCATTGTTTAGAAGTTTGTCTGGAATCCTCCCTCTACCAGACTGCTTATGGTATAACCCAACTACATTTTATGATGCGTTCATGTTTTGTAGGAAATTCGCTCAATAGTACACGTGAAGGGAGTGTTTTGGTCTGACTATTATTAACTCAACAAACAAAATAAGGTAAAATCCACTCTTTAACAGTAGGCCTACAAAGAAGAAATGTGACCATCTCCACCACACACACTCAAACTAATGCAGCCTAACAAATCCATTTATTATAGAGAAAACGTTTTTTAAAGGCCTGCTATGTTCACATTATAGTAGTTTTGTAGCACTAGAGCAGTAGGAGTCACTGTGGTGTGGAGCCTAATTTCACTCCTACTGTCCTTACAAGCCTGCAGTTCTTTGGTCTGCTCTTTTTGTTGTGTAACATAGTATGTTATCGTCTCAAGCTGCTGTTAAAGGAAACGGAAAAATTACTCTTATGTTCTTTGTAACAGTGAAGGATTATCGTAATACAGTAAGGTTTACAGCAAACCAAATAATACAAACACATCCTATCTTAATTTTGCCGATAGCGCTTTTATTATATCACATTTGACCTTTGCCGAGGAAGCTTGGTGAAATGGTGTAGTATGGGCCAAGGAAGAACCCAACTAAGGGGCGGATCCAAATCACAGGGCAGATATATAATCACTTTTCTTTACTTTCACAAAGATTGCTCGATAAGGCAATTTAAAGTATTTCTGTCTAAGTATTTAGTAGGAAGATAGTAAGATAAGATAAGATGGACCTTTATTGATCCCTGTAGGGTAATTGCGGTGTTATAGCAGCAGCAGAATAAGAGAGAAACACAGGTAGTACACATGAGAATATACACAGGGATATTAAGAATAAAATAAATAAGAATAAACATTTACTAAAAGTATAAATAGAAGTAACAACAATTTGAGTCAAACTGATAAGATGAATGTTCATACAGATATATTGCTACAGCTTTGGAACTGGTTGGACTGGTAACATTTGAATGGCAATTTAGATAGTACTTGGCAGATTTTCCAGGAGTGAGACACCGTCGTGAACGAGCAGCACGTGAACGCTGCATCTGGCTCCAGCCCGCTCACTCGGACACACACTGAAACAGCAGTATGTGTTTGACCAAACTAAAGTGAGTCGCTGGCTGCTGCTGTGTGCACGGTTTTACCCACAACAAACACACCGACATGGAGGTGTTATTTTCGGGGACAGGACCGCGGTGAGAGGGCCGACCGGAGGATGTAGGGACTACACGAGGCGGCAGACACAATACAAAAGAAAGCGCCGAGGAGAGGAGGCGATGGTGGGGGAGAGGAGCAGCAGCATCGGGGGGTTTCACACATACCCCAGCTTCAGTTCTCTAACATAACCATTCACTTTTAAACTGGGATATCAAGGCGAACATATCCTCCAGCATGTCGGATCCAAGTCACTGGTCTGCGGCTCCAAGCCACACCAAGTCTCATTTTGTTCCGGGAGCCTTGCTGAAGCGCTCAAAAAGGTACTTATCAAGAGTTGGGGATTTGCAGGTTAAAGCTCAAGTTACAGGTTCATTTTGGCTTTTGTTTGTTATGTGAAAATGCCGTCCTTGTGTGGCAGGTGGTCTTATTTACTCTTAATGATTTCTTAAGGGACGCTATATTAAAACATTCCCAACACGAGCTCCATGCGCACAAACAGCCTGGTGCTTTAGTGAACGTTAATCCTGTGTCTGTGTATATCAGTTTTCGTCCAGAAATCTGTAAGTAGCTCATGCACATTTCCTTCAATATTTGCTCTAAAACAAAAGTATGTTTGTCTAATATCAGATATGCAGTTTTCTTTGTTGAAATTGGACCATTGCAGCAGGTCTATGATGTGGCATTTGCATATCCTAACTGTAGGTGCAGTTGTTAAATAAAGGGACAAGAAGATGTGTTATATTAAGGAAAAAGCCTCTATTGGTGTGATGATAGTTACTGACTGCAGGGCATAGTTCATTGTTTACTGTTAGATGACTGGAGATAAACCCTGCAGCTGTCTGGTAGAGGCCATGACACGGGATGAATGAGGCAACTTTCAGCCTGCATTTTGTGGACTTATGCTGCAACATATGATTCGTGTGATCCACGATTTATTTGTCCTTTTTTTGGGTTAATAGTCTGAAAAATTGCAGAAATTTGCAAGAAACTGCCATTTCAATTTCCCAGAGTCCAATGTGTTCAGATGGCATGTTTTGTTCTACAAAGCAGTCCAAAACATTTTATAATAAAATGAGAAAAGCAGCACATTCTCTCATTCAAAATGCTATACACTGCTAATATTGGAACATTTTAGGGCTGCAACCGATCACTTTCAAGATAAATCTGCAGATCATTTTCTAGATTAATCTTGTGGGCTATAATATGTCAGAAATCACAATGTCCCTGAGGTTTTCAGAAGACTTCAATGAAAACAGTGCACATCTCAATTGTTTAATTGAATGGCTGTAAAGCAGACAAAAAGAGCTAATATTTGAGAAGAGAGAAGGTTTTGTATATAAAATGACAAACATTTGAATACTAAATATTTAAGTCTATACTAAGTTGGTTCATTTTCTGTCTGTCTAATGATTGAATCATTGAATAATCAGCACTATTAATTACTGTTCACCCTCGTATCGCAGTTACATTTGCTCAGATGAATGGTATTGGTCATAGTGTGCCCCTTCACTTCAGGACCAGAGGATTTTGATACTCCCTCCCGCCTTTTAGACACACACACACACACACACACACACACACACACACACACACACACACACACACACACACACACACACACACACACACACACACACAGAGTTGGACATCTGTAGCGAGCTTGGCCGGCTGTTGCTGTTGGGCACACACTCCCTCCCTTCAGCCTTGACTCTATTGACAGCAGGTTTCCTCTTTGTGTTTTGGCCCTCATCAGTTTCCCCTCTTCAGCTGACACAGCCATGCTGGTGTGTCGAGCATTTGCCCGCAGATTAGAGTAGTAGTTACATAAACACCTACCAAGGAAGAGCTGCTCTGAAGGCGGAAATAACCTCATCGTGGAGTGAAATCTCAGTGGGCAGAGACAAAGAAATCTCAGTGGGCAGAGACAAAGTATCATAAGCCCCATCTGTACTAGACCAGAAAGTGTGTATCTTTGGTAAAGTATTCAAAAGATGTTCAAAGACTTTCGGTCTGCTTGCGGTTGATCACTGATATTCTTGACCATGGTGTGTACCTACATTTGAGGATTTATGGGACTCATTTGAATACCAATCCAGAGCAGTTATGGTGGCTATGATGTTGGCTCAATGTACTCAGTTTGCACATTTTCCCATATGAAAAACTTGTGTAGTAATTTACATCACTGAGTGTCGGAGTATAGTTACTGAAACAGATTCTGATAACGACTAAAAAAGAGTAGAAGCCATAGTAGACAGCTCCTGAATATACAATTATTAATATATATTCAATATCTTTAATTGAATGGAGCTGAACAATTATCTGCAACTATTCAGATAAGCAATTCACCATTTCAATCCTGTTCCAAGCAAATATGCTTAACATTCTCAGTTTAACAACATTTAAACAAAAACAACGGCATCTTCCTTTCTGTGTAAGGTTTAGAAGCTTTTCTTCATTCTCCTTTGGTCAAATCTTGGATGTATATTATATTATGTGATGATACAAAATGTGCAAAATACAAGAAACTATTTGACTAAGTAAAGAGTATACAATTAAATAAATTCCAACTAAACTAAAAAGTATAATAAAACGCCTGCTTATTTCCATAACTCCCAGTTAAATATCTGCGTACAGTACTTCCTGTTGGCACACAAACAAGGATGTGTTTCGTTGTTGTTCCAGCGTACTCAATGTAGTACAACAGTTCGAGCTCAGTGGATCACAGTTGTGGATTTAAGAGGTCGAGTGTCTTCTTAATCTGCCAAGTGTTGCGCTGACAGAAAAGGTTTTTTGTGTTTTCAAGCTGCTGCTCAAAACACATATACACACACTGATGGTAACACAAGTTGAAGCATTGCATGAGTCAAACTTATAATTATAGGTGGATACGCCAAAATGATTCCACTCATTAAAGGGACACGCCAGGGTATTTTCTATATAGATTGTTCGAGCAGTGATAATGAATGTAACACAAACACTTCAACCCATATAGCATAATAAATCACACCTGCATTGATTTCTAGTGAAAAAGCTTTCTTTTAAGATAACCTGGGGGACAATTTTCTAATTGGTGCTTTTTTAATGGCTGAAATTCCACTGTGTTGTTACAACAGGTAATAAAGACATGTTCAAAGTGATGGGAGATGAGTGATGTGTGATCAGGCTGGTAGTTTGTGTTGACACCTTTTTTTCTTCTGTTTGTGCTCCAGCTGTCGCAACAGCAACAGGAAGAGCCTCGGAGTCGGGACGCTATCGCCCACGCTGTCCCGGCCGCTCTCACCACTCTCACTGCACACCGGTAAGATCTACTGCAGCGCTTGCTATCCTTTTAATCCCAGCATGTCACAACAGGAGCGCCGCTGCAAACAAACACATGTTAGCATTGGTGTTGGCTCTACTTCAGCTGTAGTGTGTCATTCAGCAAATAACTGCACTGACCAATCAAACTGATGCACGTGCACACAGAAGCTTAAATACATGACCGCATTATTTACATTTTGTCTGTTGCAAAATCTTGTTTTTAAATTGATTGATTAGATTCAGATATAATGATCAGTGACAGTATTTGATACTGTCTTTTTAAACACATTTAGGTGCCTTGGGGTTATAAAGTAGGTTTAAATGTTGTTATTCTTACCTTTCCAAACACTAGAGATGACATGTGAAGCTTTAAACAGGTTTGATGTGAACACACATATGCCACATTTGGCATATGGAAACTTTGCAGGGGTTTGATTAATTACGTTTCAAGTAAATTCATAACTGTTTGTCATGTCGCGTACTGCTAGAAGCTCCTCTAACATTAATATCTGTAAGCTGTATGGCTCACTGCCTAGCCACACGCTCAGTAATACGAGATTAAGCTAGTTTGGATCTAACTATTAAGCCGCACCATAGCCAGTATGCTGTTGAGACTGCAGATTATTCAGACATATTCAGATCATCTGGAGCACATCTGCACACATCAGCCATTAACTGAATCCTTTCAGTTATGACACACTGTGTCAAAAACAATTATATATAAATCGTACTCCAAAAAAGGGTACCTGTACACCATTAAGTCATATTATTAGTTCAGCTTCTGCTGAACATCTGGACCAACAATCTCCAATGTTTCATGTTGCTTCAGGAAACTATGTTTTAAATTATGTCTTTTTTTATGAAATGTTTTAAGGTAATCAATTTGGACTTAGAGAAGTTCACTGTCTATTAGGTTGAAGAATTAAAAGTGCAGAAAGTTTAAGGATGATTGACAATCGATAAGTGTTTAAATAAACTTTAAATTGTTAGTTTTCTTTTGCTTCTGAATCAACAGTACTTCATGCCATGAAGCAGCTGCACTCAATGAAAAGAGGTTTGCACAAGAGCTCCTCAAACCAGCAGTATGTGGATGTGCTCCCTTTTGAACTCAATCATGCTGAGGATTATCTAATCACAGAGTGCAGTCGGCCTCTAATTGGGTCTCTCTTGTGTCCTAATTGGTACTCAACTACTTGCTTGTAAACGAACCACAGTCTCTAGTGGAGGCAGCCAGACTCTGGTGAGACCTGACTGTTTGCAGATCAGTGCTGTAATGTTTGAAGAGTAATTCCAAGATGATAGATTGGACCTGTCTGAGGTGCTGGTAAATGGCACTGGGTTTTTAAGTGATGGAGGGTTCCTGCAGAGACGTGATGTCATATTTTCTGAGAAGTTTCAACTTGTGAATGCAGCCATTTGGTCTTCTTTACTCTATTTCCTGAGTTAATTATGACAGTTAGGAATAATACCGGTACTGTCTTTTCTGTTTCAGCTGCAAGCAGCCCTCTAGACAGTCCTCGAAATGTGTCGACCGGCGCCTGCCTCAACTTCCCTTTTGCCCGAAGGTATGTCAGCACTGCTTGTGAATCCTTTCCCTGTGAAGTGATACATTTCTTTTGTCACATCTGAATAATCTCAAGGGAGGGGAGTTTTATTCTTAATCATACATTCTACCAGAAACGTATATTATCTGTCCTGGGATTGTTACAGTGAATACAAATTATAATCCATACTATATCTTAAAACTGATGAGATAGTAGTGTTTTGTGAGTTGTTTGTACATAGGATCTGTGATTCACTAGGGTTTCAGGTGTTTTTAATTAATTTAAAAACACTTTTGAAAAATAGAAGTTCTTAAAAATGGCCTGTCCACAGCCAAATTGGAGCGAGGGGTTTACATTTTTTAATTAGCTGAAAACTTATTTTAATAAAAAAACGTAATTAATAACGCATTTAACTTGTTATCTTTCACCACCGTTCATCAAAAACATTGAATAATGCTTACATTTGACCAAAAAATTGTGTTTTACAACAGTCCCCATGTTTTTGGTCAGTCCTGTCACGCTTCATAAAATACTCCATAAAAAATAGTGCAATACACCTTTAAGAACATGATTGTGAAGGAGTTGCATCATCTGACGGAAGAGGAGCTGACAATAAGTGGGTAAATTCTGTCCTTGAATTTTAAGATTTGAATCTTGTTTTTACACCTACGTGGACAAGCTAAAGGGTCAGGCGCTGTCACGATAAAATATCCCAGAAAAGGATTATATTGTTTTTGTTATTAAAAAATGTAGATAAGTTCACTAAAATCCCTTGCTAGCAAGCTAACTATTTTTAAGCTAACATGTTAAAATGCTGAGAAATAGCAGTTAAAATGGCCGACTGTCAGGCCCTGTCACGTCAGGCACTGTCACACAGTGGCCGTTTCCAGAGATGGGGTCGTTACTAAAAAAAAAAGTAATTTATTATATATTACTTTAAAAAAAAAAGTAATATATTACACTACTTCGTTACTCTCTACATAAAGTAACTCGTTACTTTACTCGTTACTTTACTCGTTACTTTACTCGTTACTTTACTCGTTACTTTACTCGTTACTTTACTCGTTACTTTACTCGCAGGGCCGGCCCGCCCCTCCCTACAGGCAGATCACGCAGACTGCTAAAGTTTCAAATGTTCTCTTTAGTTCAGTTTCCATTGTCGCATAACACTGATCCAGATAGCTCTGACCATGGCTGTCCTCTGTCTCCTGCTATCTGTATTTTGCGCAGTATATCTCTGAACGATGCGATGGTGATTCCACTGTGCAAATGGGCAACATACTATGAAGGATGCTACAAGCCTGTCCATCTCTGCTTTGGTTACCGGTAATTTTTGCTGCTTCGGAGTCGGCGGCGGCGCACTCACAACATCCTCACTCTGGGTTCGGGGGTCCTTAGCTATTAGCTTCACCTTAGCATGTGTTCTTTGCAGGTGTTTGTTGAGGTTTGACGTGGTGTTTACAGCAGTGGATAACAGCTTCTGGCCTGGACACAGTTTGCACCTCACCGTCACATTCCTGTCTATTCTTCGGACAAACTCAAAATAATGGGCATACCTCCACCCCTCAAAAGTTATCGCTGACTCAGCCATGTTTATGCAGCAGTGCACGTGGAGATGTGGACTCGCAAGTCGCGCAGATTACGTACATATAAATCTGCGGCGGAAACACCTCTTGTCTGTCAGTGTGATTATGACTGATTTTATAAAAGTAACGAAGTAACGCGTGTCGGGGCAATGTTAGTAACTGTAGTGTGATTACTGAATTATAAAAGTAACGCGTTACACTACTCCGTTACCGACAAAAGTAATATTATTACAGTAACGCGTTACACCCAACTCTGGCCGTTTCTCAATCGCGAGGATGCTGGCTTGGTAGCACAGCCGAGCCGAGCATCTTGCTTCAGAAGCAAGGCAAGAATACTTCCTGCCATTCGGAAAACGAAGAGTGGAACAGGCTAGCAAGTGTGCAGGTGTGCGTCATATGAGAGGCCCCGCCTTACATCTTCCGCCACAGATTTGGGGGAAATTGGTCCATGCGCAAAGCATTGTGGGGATTTTAAGGACGCAAAGTCTACCCATGTGCAGCCTCGAAATTTCCCCCAAACCAAGGACGCGGCCTCGGTGGAATTCCAAGTATGCTGGAGATTGGAACAGTCCTTCGGCGGCACTCGATGACGTAGCATCCTTGAAATATTGGCTTGGAAGCCAATATCCTCGCGTTTGAGAAACGGCCAGTGTCCCTCTTCTTTTGTAGTCATCCCTAAGCTCTGAATATGAGGTGCTAAGGTCACCTATTATGCAAAAGCCACTTCTTCATGTCTCTTCTACATCAACATGTGTCCCCTCTGTGTAAAGAGACTCTGAAAGTTTCAGGAACAAAGATTCTCTCTCTTTTTGTCCTGATCCATTTATATAAAAACCTGTCTGAAAATGAGCTGATCAGATTCTGGCCACTTTATGATGTCATAACGATGTTTTGTCTTGTGTAACCATTAGCAACCAAGGTAACCCCCCCCCCCCCCCCCCCCCCCCTTATCACCTGAATCTCCTCCTAGAGCACCATTGTGTTCTTTTTAACCAAATATCTCACGAGGACGAAAACGCAAACGGACCGAAATCGATATCAAAAAAGTCTTCCGACCACGCAATAGGCACCAGAAACGTGTCCGTTCACACGAGACCGCTCGAAAGTGCTGGAGACGCTGTAGTACATATGCCGGGCCTGTAAGTGGCGCTGTACTCCTGCCACAAAAGCAGCGAAGAAGACTTCCCGCGCATGGTTGCCATGGTTGCCCTTCTGTTTATTCTCTGCTGTGGACGCTCTGGCTCTTTTTCTCCCTCCCCGAGGCAAGCGTGTGCTCCTGCTGTATATCTCTCCGGTAGTCCACCAGCAGATAAAAACACCCACCTCTTCGCCTCTTCCAAGGGGCGACGGGACCGTGCGGCAGAGTTTCAGTTAGATTTTTTTCCGCCGGTCAACATGTCCGTTAAAGTTTAAATCTTCCAGACAAAATTAGAAAAGTGCCGGTCAAAGGTCTTCTTTGTTATTTATTGAGCTTTAAAACAAATTGATAACGACTCTATATAATAATATAAGAATAATAAACGGAGCCTCTCTTTTCCTCCCCCTCTTCTGACAGCCCAGCAGCTGATCTCTGAGCAGGAGAGGCGGGGCTATTGCTTCAACGTTATCAAGAAATGATCGTATAGGCGTAAACACGGAGCCGTTTGCCCCCCCAGAGCGTTTCGTTTGCAGATCTACCCACCTTGGGACCCGTTATCGTTTTATGCGTTTCCATGTCGGCCTCGTGTGGCCGAACCGTCTATATGATAGAGAACTGTAGCGGGTATGACCGTTATCGTCCTCGTGTGGCTGGGGCCTCAGAGGGGCGTGGGGAGTGGCTCCTTATTTTCATCTAAAGCAGGGGTCGGCAACCTTTTTGATATGAAGTGCCATTCAAAATAAAATAAATTATCAGCATGCCGAAGATCGTGAATTATCAACAGGAGGGCGGGGGGAGCCTCGCTGCGGGGAAGCACTGTGTGGACCTGTCAGCGCAACTTACATTAGGGATGCTCCGATCGCCGATCCGATCGAGTGGGCGGAGCCTATGGGGATCTTCCATTTAAAGTGATGTTTAAAACTCAGTTAATGAGGCTCATTCACTGGCGCTTCCACAAACAACAACCAACATAATTATTACATTCAAATGAAGTACATTATTCAAGTTTACATTAACTTTGGATAATAACACGGGAGAAATTAGCGGAAGCGCTCTCTTTTCCTCTCCCCCTCTCTCTCTCCTGACAGCCTGTCAGTATCTCATGCAGCTCACTGATCCAGTAATGAGTGACCCGACAGTGAGGAATAAATATATGTATAACTAGTTTAGCTTGTTCCAGAGGTAGATAAAATAGCTAAGTGTGTTAGATCTAAATCTTGTGTGTTTTGCTCCGCTCAGCGGGTGGAGCTGCAGGACTTCTGCTTCACACACGTTGCATACCGCTATTTTATTGTCATTTCTTGGACACCTTAAAATACTGTATACATATTGTATCACCTAAACTTTATCTCTAGTTTCCCTGTAATTCATTTAGAATTGCCATATAAATAAATACGGTCCTTGAAAATACTGTTGAATATTTAAAACATATATATCAAATTGAATATTAGGCGCTTTCACACCAAGTACTTATTTCCCAGTACTTAGTTCATCAGATCGCGTTTACACCGGAATAAGTCCCTGGGGGAGGATGGCAAATGAAGCTGCTGACGTCACTTCTTCTACTTCTGCTTTGGGTGTACTGGCAGGCCGCAAACAACTTCACGGCGTATACTGCCACCCGAAGTCCCCGGCCGGAAGTCCCCGGAGTTGGGGACTGGCTTCAGTAGAAGCTGCTGGGACTCCCAGCAGCTTCTACTGAAGCCTTCCGAGTAAATCGCCAGAACGCCGACACCTCCAGTCCTCATCACTCCACCGCTCCCATGTTTTCTTTTGTGTTGCCATAAGTTAGTGTCTCTCCGTTGGTGCGCTGGGCTAATGCTAATGCTAATAATGCTAATGCCAGCAAATACAATGGCGGCTTCACACATCTTTTCCGAGTTTTACGGGGCGTGGTTTGCAATCCGCCCAGCCAATAAGAAATGGGAACCTTTTTCTCCCATGAAAGTCCCTGCTCTCTAGCAGGGACTAAAAAGGGGGTGAAAAGGTTCTCATGAACTAAGTTCTAGTTCCGTATTTTTTTTGGTGTCAACGCAACATTTCAAGAACTATCGAAACTATACTGGGAAAAGTACTCCGGTGTGAAAGCGCCTATTGCAATTTACACAAAGAGTTTACTTAGGGATTTTAAATGTAAGACTTGACATTATTGTTTCGCAAAATGTTAAAGTTTGAATAAAATGTTCAATCAACAGAAGCACTAGGTAAAGCCGTTCTTGAGTAGGCAAATTATTACAAAGAGTGAAGTTTTCATGAACTGAATGGACTGGCTGCCATTTTGTTATTTATCTGTCTTGTAATACATTTTCAGGGCTGTATACAATATTTTGGCACGTTGTTAAAATCAAAGCACTCAGTGTTGACTACCAAGTCGATGTTGTTTAAGTTTACCAACCATTGATCGCTTTAACTTCACAATGTGAACCCAAATGAACCAATGAATATAAAATAAACCTTACCCGTAGGCTACTCCCTCTGAGGGTTTCCTGTGAGATGGGGTGTGTGTTGGGACCCTTCTGGAAGCTTCAGATCAACAGCAGCTAACTGACTGGGTCGAGCCCCCCCCCCCTGTGTGCAGTTAGATAGAGGATACCCCCGAAGCCCACTCACACATCATTCAACCCAGTTCCCATGGCAACATGCCTATCTCGCTCCGGGCATGTGTTGCGGCACCTTGAAGACACCAGGACAGAACAGTTGTTAAAACTTATGAGAGATTCAGGTGCTTGTCCTTAGATACGATCAGAACAGAATAGAAAACGACAGCCGTGAGTTATTACTCTACAGGAGCTTACTATCAAGACGACAGGCAATACATCTTCAGGACATATCATAGCTCAGAGATTTTGGTTCATATTACAGTTTCTTTAGATTTGTCGTTGGCTGCACATCTACGATCAGTTTCCTGTTCTTAGCTGACAGGAGTAGAAACTGATGTGGACTCCTTCTGCTGCTTCAGCTTAAGGTTTTGACATGTTTCTCAGAGATGCTCCTCTGCATATCTCAGTTGTAGCAAGTGCTTATTCTGGGTACTGTTGCCTTACTATCAGCTCAAAGTAGTCTTATCTGGCCATTTTCAACCTTTTCCAATGATAAAGTGCTTTTTGCCCTGAGATCTGCTGCTCATTGGATATTTTCATTTATTCATGTTTATTGCATTAACAAGCGTTGAACGGCAGTTGTAGCTAATAGAGGGACAATTGAGAGTATATGATTATCTATTGTGCTGAGGATAAAAGGAACTACATTTAAAGAAAAAGCAACATTTTAGCATTCAACATCTTTACTTCTACAGTAATAAATACTCAATGTCTTGCAGAACAATCGCCATCTATGTTCCTTGCAGCTTGAAATGTGGTTCTCTTGTATATGTCGGTATTTATTAAGGCTCTTCGGATGAAATTCATGAAGAAATGAAGTCAAAGAGACAATCGAGTAAATCATTGTGGTTAAACGGTTGTGAAATGCAGCTTTGTAGTGGTTTCCCAAACAACATTGTGAAGTTGTAAGTCATGCATTCAGTCTTTCATTTTAAATATATTTAAGTGTTATGGAGCTCTTTGATCTGTAATTTTCCTTGTGTAATAACCCTTTTGTTTCCTCTGCTTGCAAACAACATGTCAAACAAATGTTGAAACACATAACCTTAAGCTTAATTTTATTTTCTCTTAATTTTGCTGTGTGTTGCATATTTCAAAGTGCAGAGAAGATCCTTTCTCAGGTCATGCTTTGAAGTTTTGTTTCTGTTATGTAAACTAAATCCTCAAATTAATTTATTTTGCTTGCTGCTCCTTGTATCTGGGCAAATGAAAACTGGCAAGGAAGGAAACATTGTCAGTACTAATCCCTCAGCTGAATGCCAAGGGCCACAGGATCACTTGCGCAAGGTTCCCAAAACTCACTGAAATGCGTTCTTTTCCTTTTCCTTTTCTCTCTGTTGCTGTCGTGATCTCAGTCACTTGGCTCGCGCTGACAGGTAGCTTCTTCTAATATTTTTGCACTGTATCTGTTGGCTTTTAAGGCATGTGTTTTTATATGTGTTTTTCACCGACTGATGCTCCTCCTTACAAAGCTCTCTTACGGGAACGTATAGCTTGCTTTGTATCAATTAAGGACACAGTGAACCTTGTTATATATGATTTGTATATATAGAGAATAATTTCATGCTCACGTAGTCACAGGACTCTCCGTCGCTTGTTATGTAAGGACGTTCACGTATGAAATGCTATCTGTGCCATTGCTGCTGAGGCTTATATAACATGCATGTCCCTTCCTGTCAGAGCTGAGGGCCGGAGATGGTCTCTGGCGTCCCTCCCCTCGTCTGGCTATGGAACCAACCCGCCGAGCTCCACTGTCTCAGTAAGTCATCCCAAAACATGTCACCCCCCCCCCCCCCTGCTCAGTAAATGGTGGCCAGGCGATTCTAACACCTCTCTTTGCCCAAATAGCACATTGGTTTATGCAATAAGGGACGGTGAATGCCAGGCCTGAGATGACAAACTGTTAATTGTTTTCCTCCATCATCTGCTAGGATTAGTCATTCTCTCAGTGTGTGTGTGGTGTGTGTGTGTGTGTGTGGTGTGTGTGTGTTGTGTGGTGTGTGTGTGTGTGTGTGTGTGTGTGTGTGTGTGTGTGTGTGTGTGTGTGTGTGTGTGTGTGTGTGTGTGTGTGTGTGTGTGTGTGTGTGTGTGTGTGTAGTGTGTGTGTGTGTGTGTGTGTGTGTGTGTGTGTGTGTGTGTGTGTGTGTGTGTGTGTGTGTGTGTGTGTGTGTGTGTGGTGTGTGTGTGTGTGTGTGTGTGTGTGTGTGTGTGTGTGTGTGTGTGTGTGTGTGTCGTGTGTGTGTGTGTGTGTGTGTGTGTGTGTGGTGTGTGGTGTGTGGTGTGTGTGTGTGTGTGTGTGTGTGTTGGTGTTTGTGTGTGTGTGTGTGTGTGTGTGTGTGTGTGTGTGTGTGTGTGTGTCATCGTTGTCACTTTCACAATTTCCTTGTCTTTCATTTCTTCATCAGCTGTAGTAATTATGTTAAAATGGCCTTATATATATATGAGGTTTTCTGTTAGGTAATTATAAAAGATTATTCCCTCAATTACTTTTGATGATAAATAAAAAAAATGTACAGGATGTGAAAGCACTTCAAAGATATTTTTTTCTGTATATATTAAATGTCTTATTTGAATATATTTAACAATTTAGAATAAAGCTACAATTGTATTGCTCACAAAATAACATAATGAAATTTCAAATGAGCAGCGTGCGATGGGGGGGACATAGTGTGTGAGTATGTGGTGAGACTCTGCCATGTGCAGCTATTATAGGAACTTTATGGGGTAGACCCAGCCGCAGACCCAGAGGTCAGTGGGGACAATGGGGCTCTTCAGTGGCCCTCACTGCCCTCTTTATACTGAGGCATAATAAAGAGACTCCACAGATGCTGTCCCTCTGGTTTAGGACAGAACAGGCGGCAACATTCAACAGATTGCTTGCATCGTACATTATGTCCCCTTCAGCTTGGAAAGAGTTCACTCGGTGCCTCAGTAGACGTTGAACATAACTTAATTAGGTAAATATCAATGTCTCTGATCTACTAATTTATATATACCCCATTACTGGAAGAAAAGCTTTAATTATTGGCTGGAGATGTTCATGTTTCACTGTTTGATTACTATTCTAAATTCATACAGCAGCCTCTTTTAATCCTCCACAGGTGTGTTATCAGGACAGGTTTATGTTGGCACAGAATACAATATGCTGCTGTCGTCATAAACATAACCTTTAAATGTTGCAAATACAAGGAGCAACTTTATCGCAAACTGCCCAGACTTAAGGTCTACATGTGTTTTTAGCAGTAGTGTCTCTTATCCAAATGTACAGAGTGATGCCTCTGGCGAGACATGAGAAACAGCAACATCCTCTTTACAGAAGGAAGTAGCACGGTTTACTGGAACTGTTATCTTGAGTTTGACAAACTGTTATATTTAGCACCTTATTAAATGTGTCTTTTGCTTAACTTCATTTCACTAATCATCCATTTCTAAGAAAAAAATTGATTGATGTTTGAACATGTGTTACAATCCAATATTTATTCCCTTTCCATCCCTGCAAAGACTATATGAATACATTATTATTAATATAAAGTGGGTAAAACCTTTCATTTATTCGTCTTAATATTAAAAAAAAAAAGCCACTGTAAAAAAAAAAAATCTTTATACTTTGGGTCATGAAATAGTTCCACATAAATCTCCCTTTTTTGTTTCTTATTGTCTTCCAGATATTGTTTTTATACCATCAGTGAGGTCCCAGCTGCTGCCTCTTATTAAACTCACTGGATCAGATATAATGGCCCGGTATAAACATTGCAGCATGGTGTTTTTGAATCACATCATCTCCCTTAGCAACTGTCTTTATTATTCTTGTAAATATCATAGCATTTATCCATGGTGTTTTAAAAGATAATGTGCTTTTTTTTTAAGCTAAAAAAACAACAAAAGAATGTGTAGATTCTAACTTTTTGAATGTAGAAAATACTAAACCTTCTGGACTGATGGATCCATCTTTGTGTCTGCAGTCCTCCTCCTCCTCCCAGGAGCGTCTTCACCAGCTTCCCTACCAGCCGACTCAAGATGAGCTGCACTTCCTCTTCAAACACTTCCGCAGCACAGACAGCATGACCGACGAGGATGGGCGGCACTCCACGCTCATACGACCTCGGTCTCGGAGCCTCAGGTAGCTGAAACTGATTTCACCTTTTAATCGAATGTGTCTTCTATAATGCTAGGTATTTATACTAGAAAAAGTGCTTATGGGGTAATTCCTAAGCAACATATTGAGTATTTAAATGACTTTATTTACTTTTCTTGATGCACAATTGAACCTGTGTCTACATGTGTTCACCACTATATTCTCATGTTTCAAAACCCAGTCTGCACCGGGTCCAAACCGCCTTTTAATATTGTTTCTTGGCCCGTCATCATATGAAATGAATAATTTCTACAGATTAAATGCAGTAATCCTTCCTGGGATTAACTACTTCTTTGCTTGGGAAAATAAACCATTTCAGTTTAATTTTGGACAGTGATGCATGTGTTGCAATGTTTATAAGAACATTATGTATGTCACAATGTACAGGTAGACTGTCATATGTCAACATGTCATGTCTTCGGTATGACCAAGACAAAATCACATGCAAATGTGTGTCTCTGAAGTGCGTCTCGTAGATTACATGCGCCTGTTGGGCCGGCAGGGGGATCTGACTGCAGAGCTGTGTGCTTTTCCACAACTTTTGTGTTTTGGCTCTGCTCTGCGCTGTTTGTGCGATGCCTGAGTGCTCTGTGTTCTGGCACCATGGTGTGCAGTGCGTGGGCATGCTAGCTGACAGAGCGCCTCAGGGATCCAACTGCTGAACTGAAGTCGAGGGTTGGGGGTTGTGTGAGGGGGCGGGGGGGGCCTGATGCAGAGAGCCTCAGTGAGCCGCAGTAGTGTGTGTTGGGCTGCAGCCATCCACTTTAACAGAGGCGTCTTTCATGACAAAAACACAGCTTGGGGAGCCTGTTTGGATGTGATAGGTTTTCCCTCCATCTGTTCTCTTTGAAGCCTCATCAAGCAAGATTCTTTTTGTGAAAATACACTCGTCTCATCTGCCTAAACACTGAAGTGGTGTTCCAGTAAATGACTAATTGAGAGATGTTGATGATTCACACTGTTTGGTCAGAATAAACCTCTGCTGGTGGTGTCGAAACATCAAAGCCTAACAGCAAATCATATCTGATTGTAGCGTTAGTGCCTAGAGCTGCTGGCTTCATATGTTTTCTTACAATATTGTCATTGATAACCACTTCATTGTCATTGATAACCCCCCCCCCCCCATCCTAGCTTAGTGGAGAGTTGTATTTAATAGTGTTTGCAGAGCTGCGTTGATTAGTAGACTACACAATTTAGTCTGTTTATTTCCTTATTTTCTCTGTTTTATAGACAGAAAAAATATGATAATACATCTGACAAAATTAGACAGTTAAAGATATCACCATGGGCTTTGAAAAAATGTAGACGTTTCTAAAAAAAAAATCCAATCAACAGATTTTTGGGCTAAATAATTGGCACTACAAATGAATCGATAATGAAGATAATATTCAACTGTCAAGTGAAATATTCTAACCTGGACTTTTGTTTTTGTTGCAGCCCCGGGCGATCAAACGTCTCATTTGATAATGAGATTGTCATGATGAACCATGTTTACAAGGAACGTTTTCCAAAGGTACAAACCAAAACACATTTCTGAAAAAACCTACTGCAGCCATAGTGAAATCTGAATTGTCTTAAAACTCAAAAATAAAAAACGATTTTGGAAATTCACAAGTCTTAGCTGCTACACATGTCATTGAATTGCATCACTGGTAATAATTATATGACTTTATCTACAGAAATATAATGAATATTTGGGGCTGCGAAGAATAAAAAAGTAATAATAAGCTGTCTTTTAATGTCTTAACTGTGTGTTTGTGTGCTTGTCGTCCCTGCAGGCCACGGCCCAGATGGAGGAGCGCTTGTTTGAGATTATCACCCACTGCTCTCCAGACAGCTCCCTCCCTCTGGCTGACGGGGTGCTGGGCTTCATCCAGCACCAGTTGGTGGAGCTGCTCAGAGACTGCCTGGACAAGTCCCAGAAAGGCCTGGTTACCTCCCGCTACTTCGCTGAGCTGCAGGAGAAGCTGGAGAAGCTGCTTCACGAGGTGGGGAAACAGCCAGCTGACCTGGGTCCAGCAGGACCAATGTAGTAATGAAATTAGTTTAAAAATGTCTTTGAAACTTGCAAAAATATATCATCTAATTGTATACTACAACTGCGTATGAACCCTTCATCTGAACGCTATGATATAATGAAGTTATGAAAGGGGATTGATCGAGCCGGGGGTGAAATGTGCAATCAGGCACGCCGCTCAATAACCGTCTGATAGCTAAACGCACACACAATACATCTGGTTGTGGAAATTGTCAGTGATGGTGAGAGGTGCTTTTGTCCCAGATCTTTGCTGTGTTGTGATAAAATGTTGTTTCTATAGCAACCTCTTTCCCTGTTCCTCTGCATGCTGTCAGACAGAAGGCATGGTCGACTCGCTGTACCTCCAGCTGAACTGATAAGTCTGTTCCCATGCAGGGGAACAAATGCTGTCACACGCACACACAGACCAGGAGACTCACTCTGCGTGCCAAGGACAATTTGTCTCGAAAAAGTGTGACAGTTTCAAAGATGAAACTACATCTTCACTCTTCTAAATGTCACTGTGGCTTATAATTCAATTGGGTTGATGTATGTGGTGATACAAAGTACTTTCACTTCATAGAGGCTGGTACATGTAGCACTCATTACCTGTTGGCTCTCGCCTGGGAAATGCACTCAGGTGTATAGAAGGTGACCAATGTTGTACTTATATTTATAAAGAACAACTTAGAAGAAGAATTAAATTAACCTCCATTGATTTCTGCCCGTCACCCGAAGTGTGCAGCTCAGTGTTTGACCTTGATGTTTGACAGTTTGTTATAAGCAAAATGACTTTAACGTTGTACCATGAAGCAACACCTATAGAAAGTTCTTCAAAATAAGATAAAAAGAGAAGATGATCTCTGGAAATTGAAGCACAGAAACAATAAAAAAAAGTACTTGGCATAGTTTATTATTTAAACCGGATTCACCAGACAGACTTAATGCTTGAGCATGTGACGATCCTGCGTTTTAATAGTAGGACACAAGGCTGTTTGTGAAGTCTACCTTGTGACTTTCTAGTAAAAAAACAGTCTTTCTCTTTCTTACCCTTTTATGGGTTTGTCATGACCAAAGTGTGTGACTGTAACACACACACTCACATGTGATGACTGTGGTTCTCTTAACAATTGGAAGCTTTGGAGGACATTAAAAGAGTCCATGTGTTACACTAGTACATTCACGTCAGTCTACAAGAAAGGCCGTGGATGACTCACTGAGACTCCACCCACCCAGTGATTATTCTAATAATTCCTCTTGGTTTAAAGTGATGTCTTCTGTGACGCATCTCTGTCAGGCAGCAGCAGTTTCTTCTCTTAATACTGTACCAATCAGCTTTGAACACACTGTTATTTATATATGTATATTTCCAGTTTGCGCATGAAGCTAGCATCTTTTGTCAGGAGTGGAAAAGTGTCCCCCCCCCCCCCTCCCTTTGGATCACTTATTTTCCATTGGAACAACCAAATCCTAGTACCAAGGGCGGTTAAATACACATTTTTAATTTTGGGACCATTTTATTAGCTTAATTAGAAATGTCTCTTTGATGTAGTGTATTGGATTTTGATGTCATTATGTAAAATGAATGACACCTACATGCCATATTTTATCCCACAACTTCCTAAATATCTATTTACTTGTTTTTTTTCTTACTTTAAAGTGTTTTTGAAACAGTGTCGATGTATTCTATCCTCTCTTGGGTGATTTGTAATGAGTCGGTTGGTTTCATAAATACATTTTCTTATGTACCCCTCTGCTCGCATACTGTTTTCCAGGCCTACGAGCGCTCTGAAAGCGAGGAGGTGGCCGTCATCATCCATTTGGTGAGGAAGATCCTCATCATAATCTCTAGGCCGGCTCGCCTCCTGGAGTGTCTGGTAAGCTGAGGAAAAGAAAATCTCTTCCTGATTGAAAATAAGATTACTGTGTTTGAAAGTCCTAGTAGCCAGTTCACATGAAAGTATGACTGGAGTGAAATTGTGACCTTAATTCTCTCTCAGAAAGTGGATGTGTGTCGGCAGCATGATGAGGATCATTAAAGGAAGACAATAATACTTAACTTTCACTGTTTCCCCATAAGAAGATACATGTCTTTGGATTACCAGTTTATTTGAGACATTGTCTCTAGAAAAATACAGTGTTGATCTATTTCTTTTAGTTCTTTGAGAATCACAAATCACTTCCAAGAAGGCAAAGTAACAGATCGAACCGATCGAGTCTTTGTTGAATGTTGGTAAACAACACACAAAGATTAGCTCAGTTTAACAAGTGTGTTTACTATTTTTTTAGTTTATTAAGTTTATGTCTTATTTTTTTAAACATCATTAGTTGGATAACAGTGAAATTGATGAGAGTTGTCATTGTGATAGGCCTCACATAACCTGTCCAAAACCCTGTGATATAATAATCATTAAAATACCACTAATGTTCTTGACACTTTGACAACTTTTCACTTCAGTCTTTATAAATCACCCACTCTTTGTACCCGGTAAATGAGTAGGTTCAGTAGTAAATCCAGAGCGACTGGACTTGAATGAGAAGCTGAACATCTATGAGATACAGTTACTTTTGACTTGTACCACTGATACAGAGAAGACTCTTGCTTTGCTGTTGTCTTGCTTTGATTTCAATCTGGCAGGAAATTGACTTCAGCCATTAAAAAGACTTGATGCTGTTTACAGGAGTTTGACCCCGAAGAGTTTTATCACCTACTTGAGGCCGCCGAGGGTCATGCCAAAGTCGGCCAGGTTATCAAGACGGACATCCCACGCTACATCATCAGCCAGCTGGGTCTGACCCGCGACCCTTTAGAAGGTAAAGGACTTTTTCTGCCGTGAAGTCAAGCTGCACACTTCATTAGCCTCAAATTCAGGTTTAGCCTGTTTAAGAACCAGTAAGATTCAAAGTTTGGTTTTCAGAGTGTTATTTGCAGTAATATTAAACACTGTCTTTCTTTCTGTTCTTGCTAGAGCTTGAACAGTATGATGCGAGTCCTTCAGTGACAGTGGACACAGATGCCAGTGTGGAGGTACGTTTCCCTTTTTGTTATCAGTCTAGCTGTACGTGTGTAAAGGATATTCTAGGATTTAAAAATAAGATAATAAATGAATTCTTACAAACATATGTTCTGCAATTTTATCTGAAATAAAAAAATGCTTTATGTATATTGTTCCTGATTCCTCATGGACAAAATGTGATAATGATGTATTTAGTAGTTAGACCGCAGTATAGTTTATGTTTCAGGCAGCAGAACAAGCCCTTGGACATGATTGCCCTGTAATTATCCTAATAACAGTATTGCTTTTACTGTGTTGCATTTTTAACTTGCCCACTACTGGCCTTAAACATGTTTCTGCCTCCTTTTTTTAGAACAAGGTCCCACAGACGCTGACACCGACTCGAAGGAAACCTTTTGAGAGTGACTTTGACACAATCAAACTCATCAGTAATGGAGCTTACGGGTAAGAGCATTTTTTTTTAACGTTGTCTACCTTTACTTGCTTTTTCAGGATGTTGTTTATTCATTTCCAAAAAAAAATTAAGCCTAAGAGCTACAAAACATTGCAAAAAGGGAAAAAAAGGATCCTTGAAAATCCTCTGCATGCTAGAATATCCATATGACCTTTACAGGAAACCGTAGCAGTTTCATTTTATTTTTTGATTATACATAATCATCTTGTCAGAAACTAAGTTCCTCCTTTGATCGAACATCCAAAACAATTAAAAGGTGGTTTTTAATGAATTAACTGGATGATAGTCTAATGACGAGTTTGATGACTCTCAGAACAGAAAACCTTTTGAGACCTGCAATTACCACGATTACCCCAAAACATTTAAAATGTCATCCACTACAATGGTGTCTGGGGAGTTAAATATGACAGGGCAAAGGCAACCTTATGCAGAGATTTCCTATCTTTGCTGTTATGTGTTAAATAAAGGTAAAGGGAATCCTTAATCCTAAAAAAACAAACAATGGTTATTTCTAATAGCTGCAAAAAGTCCAGTTAAAAATGTAATTAAAAAGTATTTTTGTATCCCTTTTCATCCCAGGTAATATTGTGCACTTCTTTTAAAAAATATATGCCAAAAATGTATTTATCTTTTTTATTTTTTAAAGCTATTTAAGTTAGTACCAACCAAATGTAATAAATAATATCACTACATCTGATCATTCATCAATCAATATGCAACTTTTAGTGAGAAGGGAAATGTATGGGTTTCGATGGAAAAGATGCCACAGTACAGAGAATAAAGACTATCTTACTTCCATTTCACTCTGACTTTAAGTGTGAAAATGATTGGTTTAATGTGGCTCATATGTTTTTCGACAGGGCCGTGTATCTGGTCCGTCACAAGGAGACCCGACAACGGTTTGCCATGAAGAAGATAAATCGTCAGAACCTCGTCCTGAGGAACCAGATCCAGCAGGCTTTTGTTGAGCGAGACATCCTGACGTTTGCCGAAAACCCCTTCGTTGTCTCCATGTTCTGCTCTTTTGAGACACGACGTCACCTATGCATGGTCATGGAGTATGTGGAAGGTAATGATGAGAAAGTGATTTCTTTTTTGGTGATTTAGTACTAGAAATAGGGATTCATTAGCCATTAACACATTTCCTATGGTTTTCTGTTTCATAAAGGTGGAGATTGTGCCAACCTGCTCAAGAACATGGGCCCACTGCCTGTAGAAATGACACGGTTGTACTTTGCTGAAACAGTCCTGGCACTGGAGTATCTTCACAACTATGGCATTGTGCATCGGGATCTCAAACCTGACAAGTGAGAACACAAACTTCATTCCTGTTTTAAGCTTTTGCATGTACCACCACTTTCTGTACAGTATGACCCAGCACTCTTGCCTTTCATTAGAATTAGTTAAATTAAACAAAAAGATCAGAGACATGATCTGTAATTAAACACAATCCTGTTTTTCTTTTGTCAGCCTCCTTAGTATTTCAATCTGAGTTTTGTGTATTCTCGTGATATCCAAAAGTAAAGTTCATTTAGGTTAAAACCTGCTTATGTTGATCATTTACATTTATTATTTTGTGTTTTTCCCACAGTTTGTTGATAACATCAATGGGCCACATCAAGCTGACGGACTTCGGCCTGTCTAAAATTGGCCTCATGAACATGACCACCAACATGTACGAGGGTCACATAGAGAAAGACACGAGAGAGTTTATAGACAAACAGGTGAGACTGGTTTTAATATGAATAAAAACGTATTATGGAAGCAGCTGTTTCTGTTTCCCACTACTCACCTGTGCTGGTTTGCTTGTGCAGGTGTGTGGCACTCCGGAGTACATTGCCCCAGAGGTGATCCTCAGACAGGGCTATGGGAAGCCTGTGGATTGGTGGGCCATGGGGGTCATCCTCTATGAGTTCCTGGTTGGCTGCGTCCCATTCTTTGGAGACACACCTGAAGAGCTTTTTGGACAAGTTGTTAGTGGTGAGCGCTGAAATTATATCAATCAGTGGAAGAAATCGGAAGTAACATTTTTCTAATGTTGTAGGAAAATGTTTTTTTCTGCACCTGAACAGTATTTCTCTGTCATTATTAACCTTTGTTCTTAAAGATCCAGTGTTGAATACCCAAAAAGTAAAAAGGTAGCACAAAGACAGATCTTCAGAACAAATTAGATTAATATTAATTGGACTCATTTATTCTGGTCTTGTCAAACAATCGTGCTTGGCGTAGTGGCTTTCTGCAGAAGTTGTCGGTAGCTTGTCAAAAATCATTTGTTAGCATACATTCAAATCTTTTTATCATTACATATCTTTTCTTTCACATCAAACGATACCATGTTGTTCAAGATATGTAAATAATTTCGTCTCAGCAGATATTATCTTTTAAGTACAAAAATAAGGCTTTAGTGTTCAGCAACACCTTCAGAAACGTTCTTAGCATTTCTTAAGCTTTTATATGTGATATATCTAGCTTGTTCTTGCGTTTCTTGTTTGCAGATGACATCATTTGGCCAGAAGGAGACGATGCCCTGCCTGCTGAAGCCCAGGATCTGATCACCCGCCTGCTCAGACAGAGTCCTTTAGACCGACTGGGAACTGGTACTGCTCAGTTTACTGCTGATTATCACATGATAAAATTATAATGACACTGAAAGTAAAAAACAAATCACCTTTGTCAAAATGGATAAACTAACTGTTGGCCCTTTTATTGAATACATGTTGCCACTTCTATTGAAGTCACACATTTTTAGAATATTTCCAGTATTTTATTGGCTCTAAAAAAAAATATGTGTGTTTGCAGGCGGAGCCTCGGAGGTCAAACAGAACCCTTTCTTCATTGGTTTGGACTGGAATGGACTCCTGAGACAGAAAGCTGAATTTATCCCGCAGCTGGAGGCGGAGGACGACACAAGCTACTTCGATAGTAGGTTTAATCCTGACTCCAGGCTTAAAGAGTTGGTTTCCTCCTACATTTAAAACACTTTCACAACTCTTTTGTGATGTAAAAATGTTTAAAAAGGGATAAATGAAAACTACTTTATTTTTTACTATAATATGAACGTTCTCTTGTTCCGGTTTTCAGCTCGTTCAGATCGTTACCATCATTTGGCATCAGACGAGGATGAGGAAACCAATGATGAAGAATCTTCCTTGGAGATCAGGCAGTTTTCATCCTGGTCGCATCGCTTCAGCAAGGTAAATAATAATTAATTCTATTTAGAGGCGCCTTTCAAAGCACCGAAGGACAGTGCAACACGTGTTGAAAAAAAGGGTTAAAATATTTGTATAAAAAAAAATGTGTGCTAAAGATGTTTACCATGCTGTGAAAAAATTGAGTTAAACTGACTATTGTCTTTTGCTGTTGACATAACAAAGTCATATGTTTAGAACCAAATGGTGAGGGTTGTGGTATGACTGCTTTATGCAGCTCTACATCATCTGAAAGCTCTTCAATACTCAGCTCAGCTTTCGATCCAACACCCTCTCTCCATTTCAATCTTTCAGGTTTACAGCAGCACAGAACATCTGGCCACGCCATCCAACCTGAGCTTCTCCTCCGACCGCAGCCACAGCGAGGACAAAGAGGACCGCGTGGACGTGGGGGGACTGAGTCCCTGCCCGGGCACAGCAGAGGGCAGCGCCGAGCGCAGACACGCCGGGCGCATGGCCAGGTAGGAGATACAAAATAATATGTCAAACTCAAAATCATTAGGAAGAGATTTCACTGCTAGTGACAACAAAATGTAATGAAACATTCAATTTGGGCTGTTTTTAAATAGCATTCTCCTGATAAATCATGATATATAGCCTACATTAGTTAGTATATTAGTGTAAATATTACCCTATTAATAATAATGTTGCCACATATGCTCTCAAATAACCTTGTTTGTATGTGTCAATAAAACACATTGTAGGCTAAGTTGCAAAGTCATAGAATCAGCATTTTGATGATTAAAACAACAAGAAAAGGCTACACTTACAAAATAAATGTATTAACTAGAGCACTAATAAAAACAAGGCACTATCGAAATGTTAAATGTATTTTTAATTCAATTGGTAAGACTTGACGAATCGGATATGACTGTAAATTCTTAGTTGGGGATATCCTCAGTTGCTAGGTTACATGCAAAGTTGCTGTTAAAGAACGTAATCATGCCTAAAGGCATTGTCATGGGTTTGTGTGAAAGCAGCTAGCAGTCAGTACACTGAGCTGTTGTTGTGATCACTCTTGAACCTGTTGATTTACTGGTTGAACTGGTCTCTGTCTGTTTGCAGCCTGCGCCCTCGGGCCTCCTCCAGCTCCTCCCAGTCTGAGAGGAGCACCAGCCCTCTGGTGATGAGCAGCACCCACAGCCTGGAGACCATGCCCCGCTTCGCCCTCTCCACTGATGATGAAGGTAAATCCAGACTGACTGAGTGTGTCTGACATTAAATCCACAACATGTGTTAGTGCCCCTGTTAGAAGCAACATTGTTTTTATATATTGTTTATGTTTTACTGTAACCTGCAGCTGAGGTGGTCGTGTCAAACCTTCGGAGGATCAGGATACGCAGCAACAGCACCGGGGCCAAACACTCGTCCCCCAAAGAGCCGACCGGCCCTCGACGTTTCGGTAACCAGCTGGAGACGCCGGACAGACAGAGGCTGCCCTGCGGAGGGAAGGTTCCCAAATCAGCCTCCGTCTCAGCCCTGTCCCTCATCATCACTACAGGTAGTTAACATCAAAACTCATCAGTCAACTCTAACCAAGACAGAACTAATGTGACAATAAGTCACTGATGCTACATGTTACAAAATATTAGCTTTACATCTCTTATAATGTTGGTTATCATGGACGTAAACAGGCCTATATTTAGAACATAATGAAAGTGACTAATACAATAAAACAAATAGGATTCCACCCCTTGAACAGGACAATATTCATTAACCTTTTATTCTAAAATCCCCTTTCTGAGGTAGTAGGCGGTGCATTTTGACATATTCATAGGATATTGATGGTTTGTTTGTTTCAGACGACTCGCCCAGCGGCCTCCAGCCCAGTCCCATCTCCCCTCGCTCTCTGTCCTCCAACCCTTCATCCCGGGACTCCTCCCCCAGCCGGGACTTCTCCCTCAGCCCGGGCAGCCTGAGGCCTCCCATTATCATCCACACCTCCGGGAAGAAGTACGGCTTCACCCTGCAGGCCATCCGGGTCTACATGGGCGACAGCGATGTCTACACGGTGCATCACATGGTGTCGGTGGGTGTCATTAAAAATACGCAGCTGTGCTCAGGCTTTTATAAAAGTCATGTGTCCATGTCAAGTAATGTGCTCTACTTAGGCCTGTCAGGGTAGTTACGCTATCAACTTATCATACGATTAATGGACATGACCTTAATATTTATAACATTTTTGACCAAATACCTAAATATCGATATTGCAACGTTATTGTAGGGTTTACTATTCGAGGTTTCACAAAATAGGGATATCTTATGAATAATTATCAGTCATGTCGATATAATGATTAAGTGGCAAAGATACATAATAGAGCAACTAGAATAGACAATAGACGAGTTATCCCTACCTTTTTTAATTACTTTAGAAATTGCACATTTCTGTTATATGACCCAAGAGTACATTTTATTTATTGTTTTGATTTTGTGGTATTATTTTATTTGAGTTGTATTTACTTAGGATATTTTAACACCTTAATAATTAAAAGTTTACATTATAATGCTATTAAATCTTCATGATTTAACATGGGATAAAATGGTGTTGAAATGACAATAATATTGTTTTTATCACATTTTACTTCTGTCTAACTAAAGTAGTTATTGTGACAGGCCTAGCTTCACTATAATAACAGAAGAAAGAGTATAAAAAAGCTGTTTATGTAATAGTCACAATAACCTCCTCTCCTTACCCTCACTGTGCTGCTGCTGTTTGACAGAGTGTGGAGGAGGGGAATCCAGCTTACGAGGCAGGGCTCCGCACTGGAGACCTCATCACCCACGTCAACGGAGAGTCGGTCCAGGGCCTGGTCCACCCTGAGATGATAGAACTGCTACTGAAGGTACAACGACTCACTCAACACTGGTTACCACTGCGCTTGAAATTCATACTAAAGTTTCCCTTTGTCCGTATCACAATTGATTCCTTCATTGCTCTGTATGAAATTTGCAGAGTGGCAACAAGGTGTCTCTTCAGACCATAGCACTGGAGAACACGTCAATCAAAGTGGGTCCAGCGCGGAAGACCAAACACAAAGGGAAGATGGCTCGACGCAGCAGAAAGAGCAAGAGGAGAGATAATTACGACAGGTGAGAATCTGAGGTTTCCGTTCTGTGTTGTTCCCTGCAGCTCTGCATTGTTACTCATCGTTTGTTTACTTTGTGAGATTGCTAAATGGTGGATGTCATCAGAGAAACTAACCTGCAACAGTCTCTTGTCTCCCTCTTGTGTTACACACCGGGAAGTGAAGTTTAGCAGCAACTCAGTATTACTTTGATTTCACTCACTGCAAGGTTTGGTCTATTATACTGGAGAATATTTTCTCCCAACAGTTCTACACGAACAGAAGTGTTGTAAGGGCTTAGAACATTATTAAATAAATACACAATGCCCATCCCTGTCCGGTTTTATGTTTCATAAGTTATTGTAGCCATTTTTGGGTTGATACCACTTGTTACAATGTAAAACACCATAGAAAATAATATACTGTGTTGAAAAATAATTTGTGCAAGAACTGCTATTTGGATATGTGCTACAGCCTGTGAATGACTGTAATGAGATGAGGCTTGCCAAAAGGGCCTTCCAAATGTTAGGGGTTATACTAAAAACTACACATTAGAATAATATTTAGATTTTCTATAGATGCATTTTAAAATCAAGACAACAAACACAGATTCTTGAATCACCTTCGAGCTTGGTGTCAGTGCCACTGCTGTACTAACAAAAATAAACAATATCATATTCCTGACTATCTTCTTCCTCCAGGCGACGAAGCATCCTAAAGAAGCTGTCCAAGCAGAGCACAGTGATACACAGCAGTCGCAGCTTTAACTCGGGTCTCCACCACTCAGTGTCCTCCAGCGAGAGTCTTCCTGGCTCCCCAACACACAGCCTCTCCCCCGGCCCCTCCACACCCTGCCGGAGCCCCGCCCCCGACCATCAGGCCTGTGGTGAGCAGTGTGGCCGCACAATTATTCATGATGAAGTTAAAAGAGTTCCTGACTCTAACATCTGAAAATGTATATTGAGTAGAGGCTCTTTTGTTGCAATATTAATTTCATAACATCCAGAGATCTAGTGCCATTGTAAGAATCTTACAACTGGCTGTGCGTAAATATGATTTAAATATTGAGGTTTCTTGGTCATCTGTATATTTGTCTTACTCTCTAATGCTGGTTTATTTCTACTTCTATTTTGAGATGTTTATATTTTAGAATAGTTTATTTATTATGTGCAATGCCTTGTTTTGTTTTATGCTGCTGCAACAAAAACATTTCCCAAATTGGGATTAATAAAATACATCTTATCTTTCTGCCTCTTGTGACGTTCAATGTTTGAAACAGTTTCCCTCTGCTTCCCAGACAACAACTCTCCTCAGAGCACGTCTCCCTGCTCCAGCTCTCCCAGTTCTCCCGCAGCACACATCCGGCCCAGCTCTCTCCACGGCCTGGGCTCCAAACTCAGCACGCAGCGCTACACCAAGGCGGGCCGCCGGAAGTCAACCAGCAACATCCCCCCCTCGCCCCTGGCCTGCAACTCTTCCTCTTCCTCAGCCCAGCCTCTCTCTCCTCAGCGCTCTCCCTCTCCACTCTCAGGCTTTGCCAAAGGCTTTCACAGTTTCCACGGCAAAACTCTGTCCCCCCCCACCATCGTCAGACATATTGTCCGGCCCCGCAGCGCCGAGCCCCCCCGCTCTCCTCTCCTGAAGAGGGTACAGTCCGCTGAGAAGCTGTCTGGTGTGTACCATGCTGATAAAAAGTCTTACACCCCCCGCCGTCACACGCTGGAGGTTCCGTTTTACGGCGAGGGGGACCTGCTGGGGGATTTGGAGGCTGAGGGGTCCTGTGGAGGGTCCTACATTGGTGTGGATCTCAGCAGGCTAGGGGGGTACATCGGCAGCCAGAGGTTGAGGGACTCTGGGATGGAACGATCGGAGCAGCTGGTCGTGATGCGAAAACTCAACCTATCAGAGCGAAGAGACTCTTTTAAGAAACAGGAAGCAGTGCAGGAGGTGAGCTTTGATGAGCCGGAAGAGAAATCCAGCACCCCAGGTCCGGGCGCCCAAACACAGCAACAGCAGCATCGGCACGGGACGGCCTGGACCCTCACTCGACCCCAGACCAGCGTGGAGGTGGAGCCAGAGGTGCCGGTGGTCAGGAGGTTCACTCTGGTGCCCCAGATCGCCGTGCAGGGCTCAACAGAGAGCGAGCAGGATGAGTGGGAGCCATGTTCAGACGGCGAGGACACCAACAACGAGACAGCAGTGACGCAGGCGGGCGCCCCTTCCTCCCAGCCACAACAGGCAGGACGTCCTCTTTGTGACAACAGCTGCAGTCCGGCAGCAGACAGCCCCCCCACTGGTCCTCAGGTTGGTCCCTCCAAAGAGAAGACTGAGTGCAGAGAGGAAACTCCACAACAAGGGCATTTGAAAAGTGACGACTCACCACTGCACTAACTTCAACTGCTCTCATCTTTTATTTAAAGTCTTTCAAAGTTGTAAAGTCATTTACAAACTTCATGAACTAATTGAGTAAGGAGATGATTTTACTTGAATTTTTTTAATTGTTCAAATTTGCCTCAAGGCATTGCAGACCTGCTGGTCTTATTTATTACATATATAAACTATGATGAGTTAGTAATGATGAAAGAGGGAAGGTCTGATTAAAGAGCCAAGGGTCAACATTTTTGTATCCATAAAATGTGGTTTTGTCTTTTGACTGGATTGCTTTTTGTATAAATGTCTATTTTTTAAATACATTGTTGCAGTACAGAGTAGTTTGATAATGATCAGCATAATTGTTGTAGGACCAAAAGGTACTAGTTTTTCTTTCAGTGTCAATTTAGATCTGAACAGTGCAGCTTTGAGTAGGTTACTGCTATTATGTTGATCTTCAGAAACCTAAGAATGACCTTTGGTTCACACTGTGAGCAACATGGTTGATGTGTCAACGTCTGATGAATTGTCAGCAGTTGTATCTTTAATATACAACAATAGTATTTTTTTTGCTGCTGCAGTCAAAGCTACCAAGCACCAATTAGCATGAAAGGAAAAAACGTGTTACTCTCTTTTTGCACTCGTCAGACACTGTAGTTTGTGCAAAAATCACATTGGTGGAGAAAACAGCAGTGCTATAGTTGTGAAAGATAAAGTTCTTCCATTTACTTGTTGATCATGTTTCTTACGGTGTGAATTCGTGGTCACAGCAAACATTTTCTCGAGTTTATAACAGGTCAGTGCAGGGTAATATTGCACACAGAAAGTACAATCTGTTACATGATTTAGTCGAGTCAAAAAGGGTTTTATGTGCCATGCTATCAGTGCAGCGTCCTCTAAGCCATATCGTTAAAGGCAGAAATGTCAATGGATGTTTCTAAGTACGTGTTGTTTCCCGCTGGTATTGCAGTCTTGACAACATTTTCTGTAAATTGAAGTTCAGGATGAAGAATGCGACACACTTTGCTCTGTTGCTACTCGATATAATCTCAGTGTGATACCATATAGTAGAGGTAACTCAAACGTATATTTTTCTTGCTCACTATATGGAACCTTCAAACACAGATTCAGCATGGCGCCTCGTCTCGCTGTAATAAATTGTTCTTCTCAAAGCATGCAATTTACTGGGGGGGAAATAGAGCAGCCAAATTGAAGTTTACGTCTTCTTCAAAGTTTTGTTGAAAGCATTTGAGTATTTATTTTTTGGTCTTTTCTTACCTATAATATCAACACATTTTGTACCTGGAAAAGTATTGCAACCTTGTGTATTTTTGGAGTATCTTTTCCTGAAACTGTAGCTTTCGTCTTTGTTTTTTCAGATGAGCATGTAAGAGACACCATGCCTACAAGACCTGTTCCTACTTAATTTACCGTGTAGTAATGTTTACATCGAAAGGAAAAGTGCACTAACGTATTTTGACATGAATTTTGTAAGAGAATGTTGAAGGTAAATTGAAAATGGCAGAGGGACACATCCTTACATTGAATCCAAATCCAGGGCTTCTTTGAACAAATGTTTTATGTCTTTGTATTGTACAAATATTGATGTATATTTTGATAACGAGGGTGTATATAATTCCAGATGTGTTAAAGGATGTGAAATGCACAATGGGAAGTCTGACTTGAGGGAATGGGCTGTTAGTATTTTGGTTGTACTTCCTGAGTTTTGAGGTTTATTGTCTTATTTGTCAGTGGCTGTTGCTGAATTTTGTACCAACTTTCTCCTGAGTCTTCTGTTTCTAAAGCTTCAGAGCTGTTGATGTGTAACCTAAGTCTCTCTTCCTCCTAAAATCTCAAGATGACAACCTTTTAGAGTGTTGTCGTGTCAGCGAGCAGCACAGAGAATTTGTCGCTGAATGGCTCAGTTATTTTTGCAGTCTGACAGAATTGTTTACAACGAACAAACATGCTATGTACTGTACAAACATTTTCTATCCTGTGGCTGTATGATGAAACTACCCTCTTTGATACCACGAAAGAAACAACACTCATCAGAGTAACATATCCGTTTTTGTTTTGTTTTTTACAAAATGTTCATAAAGAGTAATTTAGCACCGAGCTGAGAAGCATTGAGTGTGTTTACATGCACTTAATTCATGGGTTGAGCCTTTTGAAAATATATTTGTTTGTAGATGACAATACTATCCAGGCAAAGGGATGATGATGGCCATGTGTACATCTAATATATATATGTATAAATCTATTTTGTGCAAATTAGGGCAGGTAATGCTCCAGAGGGATGAATAGAAAATACACGTCATTGTTCTAGAAGTACGTTTATTAAAATTAAATAGAAAAATGAAAATAGCTGAGCATAGGATAAGCTTTTCAAAGTTAAATCTAACAATCGTCAAATATGCAAGTATTATTTCCAATATCGTATGGCTAAAAGTTTTGGGGAACCCTTTTTGCAGTGCATGTAACCTTGATTTATCTGAATACCCTTGTATCTACGTGAATGTAAATATATTCAATGCTTGAAAAAAACTTCATTCACTGGAGGTCCTCAAAGACACGATTCTCAGCTGGTGTTAAACTTGCTCTTAAAGAATAAACTGGCAGGTCAAATTGTTGTACATGTGCATGTTTTCTCCTGTTCACTCTTCTGTTCAGTGCATGCTGCATGGGACAAGCACACACCTGTATTACTTGATTGCATGGTATACCGGCCCTGTCGCCCTGTACTGTGTTTTCTTGTGCAACAAATAAAATGTGTTTTTCTCTTTGACTCATCCTTAGAATGACTCCACTGGTGTTTTGTGTTCTCTTTCATTGTTTACCACACAGAAAGGGAAAGAACAGACACACAAAATAAAAAAATGGGACAATAATGTCCACCCACGATGACAGATTAATTAACGATAAAGTTAATGACAAGACAATAAGACCGTAGAAAGATGACTAGAGCCATGATCTCAAATAATTTGCGCTACGCTGCTGCAATATAAAAAGTAAAAGGAGCATTATACAAAATAAATCTGTCTTGGGTGTGTTGTAACATTATCATATTGTCAAAAACCTTTTGGAGGATTGCCAGTTCTCCTAACCTGGTCTGAAACTAGGGGAAAGAGTCTGATTTCCACAGTTTCAGAATCTATTTCTTAATGTTAACAGAATGACATATTGCATTATTTGGACTAATGTATCAGTCTATATTGAAATGCAGGACTCTGGTCTATAGGCCTATTCTGTACAACAGTGAAATTCCCAAGTGAAGCAGTTTCTGAATCGGGGATTAAAGTTACTTTAAAAACAGAGCAAGAATGCTTTCAGCACCCTTGGGCGTATTACATAAAGGTTTAGAGGTGAGAGATAAGGAAACTGCACCAGAGAGATATTTGTGTTGAGTCGCATACAATGTTCTGAAACAGTTCTGTTGCTGTAAAAAAAACATAGTAGGCTGTAAACATATTATGTAAGATAATGGTATTAATACATTCTAAGAAATTAGGCAAACTTGGCTATAGCAACATGCTACAGTAATACATTGCACATCATTCACTTTTAATGCAGATCATTTAAATACATATTTATATCGATAACTAATGGTGAAAACAACTATTATTTTCAAAACTTCAGTGCTTTATGTGTGTCGGTAGTTTTCCTTTCGGACCGACAGGTGTCACTAACGCGATGAGAAACTTTAGTCTGACAGAAGAAGTCCTGTGTCCTTCACAACAGCAAACATGGCGACTGCTACCAAAATCATCCAGAGGCTCCGAAATTTTCTGTCGGGGGTAAGAATCGCATACAAACGTTTTATCTGAACTGCGACTTACTGTGACATGAATATTGATTTATTACCTGGATATTTATTGCTTTAAATGGGCGAACAGTACTAATTTAAGACCGCGAGGGTGCTAATGCTAGGTAGCTTTAAGAGCAAACCGGTCGAGCTGAGTTGGATGAGAGCTACATGATTATGTCTTATATCATGCGTTTTTAAGCATAAATCAGTAATGATGTTTCTTTTCTAGTATGACCTGCAAGGCAAGCTCCAGCTGCGATATGGGGAGATTGCAAAGAGGTAAGACTTTGTACACTTGTGTTTAATGTAAACACCGATGGAGCCATTACACCCTGCAATCAACTTCATAATGTTACGATAAAGCAATTATGTTGTCAATTGCCAATTTAACTTAGCTTCCCAACAGTGCTATTACATACTCACCTAACGCTAAACACTGACTTATTATCTCTGTAAACAAATACAACCCAAATAGTGTAAAAACAAGGAGGACAGCACCTGCAAACGCGTCCTGGATCAGACTGATTTAATGTATTCATTTCCTAGGGTCTTGTGGGCATCTGAAACTGATTTGAATAAATTGTCTTGCTGCCTATAAGTAGATTAGTTATTTCATGCATGTGTCTTGTAATGTGGCTCTCGGGCAGCACTGCCACTTACTACCAGACCATTTTCTTTCCTCGTCAATAGTTACATGCTTTAACCCAGGGGTGGGGAACCTTTTTCCTCACAAGGGCCATTTCAATATTTTCAACATCCTCCGAGGGCCGTACAAATGATTGACCTCTGCTTAAAAATACTAAAATCACAGCCCATTCATTTCGCCTTTCTTTCATGCTGTGCAAAGAAAAAGCAACCTCTTAATCCAGATATCTTACCATGACTCGCATATGCATGCATGTGCACGGTTGTGGCATGACCACCAAAACAGAAAGATATGGACACAAGATGTGTGCAAATGTATTTAGTTTCCTATCCATGTGAACATGGACCTAACCTCCTCTAGGGGGGTCCGGGGGGCATGTTCCCCCGAGAAGATTTTTTTTTAAATGTTGAAGTTAAAAGCATCAATCTGGTGCAATTTGAGAGCAACATTAGGAGCTCTATGGATACATCTCTCAACATATGAAACAAAACTTTGAAATTTTTCTTTATGGATATTTTACAAATCACTCCCCTTTTTAAACTGTATTCTTGTTTATTAATAACAACTTTTTTTTACTGTCATATAGTATTTTACACCTGTTAACTTTATTCTCATATTTTTTATTTTTTTTGTGTATGTACAGCTCTCAACATGCCCAGACTTGTAGTGATTTTCACCTCTTTTAATACTTTTTGCCTCATTCTGAAAGAAAGAAGTGAAATGTGCCAACGTGACGGCCGTCTTGGTGTGTGGTGCGAGACGGGAGATGTATAGAGCAGTTTCACACAACAAAAGTGTTACTTCACAGTTTTACGACACATTTTTTTTTTTTGACTTGCAAAATTATCTTTTAAATTGACGAACATCTTATGTGTAATTCGTGGCACAATTCAAACGGAATCGAAAGATAATCTTTCTCTCTCCATTGACTTCAATACATAATTTTTCCGAAATAAGGTCCCATGGAGCTCCCCCGGAAAGGGAGGGACTTCGCCTCTCTATGGGTACTGCAATTTTTGAAGTGGCGGAGCGGCGTTCTGGTGCTCTCCATCAGCACTACACCCCTGTCAGACGAGACATATACCACGTATGACATGTTAGGCTCGTGTTGTGTTCAAGGACCCTGACCTTGGCCAGGAAAAACAGGCACTCGCTTGTTTAATTATTTTGCGGTCTAGAGTTCTTTAATTTTTTTCTTTTTTGCGTGTGTTTATAAATTACCTCGAGGGCCGTACCAAATGGTCTCGCGGTCCGTATACGGCCCGGAGGCCGGAGGTTCCCCACCCCTGCTTTAATCATTGTTTTGTTTTTGAACCCAAGAAACTCTCAAAATCATGGATCTGTTACTCAAACTGACAATGCTATATCCTTCCCCGTGCGCTGTACAATAGCTGCCCACTGCTCCTAGTACTAGGATGGGTTAAAAGCAGAGAACACATTTCAATGTTTTGCTGTGTGCTCTGCATGTGTGACCATTTAAAGAGGGTTTCATCCCTCCAATTATATTCTATTCTTCATAATGACACCACTACCTACAATGACATTCCCCCACAAATAGACAGTCACCGTTAAGTCGATATTTTTCACAGCAGAGACACGGCTTCATTCTGTTAACAATGCTTTCTCTATAGGACTCAGCCACCACCCAAACTGCCAGTGGGCCCGAGCCACAAGTTTGCCAGCAACTACTACTGCAATAGAGATGGACGCAGAGAGTCGGTTCCCGCCACTGTCATCATGTCTTCTCAGAAGGCTCTCACCACCAGCAGGTAAATGACTCGGTCAATGCGCTGTCATGTGCGGTAATGTAGTTATGTTCATAGTTGCAGATGGCATAACTGCAATAAATATGCTGAGTAAACCAGCAGACACCTGCCAAAGATGCCCCGATGCTTAGATGAATTGATCTGACGTGAAGTAATGTGAGCAGCAAACTTTTACTGTTGAATATAACAACAACCAGAGACGCCTATTTACATCCTGATATGTGAAAGACTATTTTTGTCTAAATCATGTCATATTTGTTTTTCTCTTCTCATCTCTTTGTAGTCAAGTTGCTGAGGTCTCAAAGCCTTGTGTGACCCCGGGGGCTGTCTACAGGGAGCCAACGCTCTCTACAGACCTCTGAGCAGCAGGATTACCTCCCTCAACAATGACATAAATCCTCCCTCCACATCTGTACAATAAGAAATGTGAATAAAATGTCTTCTATTTACGTTTTTTGTAGTTATTGTGGTCATATCTTAAACTGAATTAATTGAAACTGAGTTTAAATCATCATTGAGTAAATAGACATTGCAGCACTTTTTGGAGATACTGGCTAAGTGGTATAGCAGGGGGGTGCTCAGTTTATGTGTGTCGATGCAGCAGCTGGAGGGGCTGAGGTCCACAGAGAAAAGGCCTGAAGGACAGGCTGGAACTCCTCTCCCCAAACAGGACAGTGCAGCCTCATATAGTCCACAAAACAGTTATAATTTTGTTCACAAGAAAATTACCCTTAATTGGCTGACGGAGTGTAGATACTTGAGTAGCTCCCAGTAGACTTTCACTCATGTCTCATACATCATTATTATGTTATTGTATTTGACATATTACGTATCTTTGTAATTAAATTAATTTTGAGAAAATAAATCCCTCAAAAAGATAAATTAAACATAAATGAGTATAAAGCTGCTTAAGTATCCATTAAAGGAAATACTTCATGTCATTACTATTGTCAGATGGACCATGGATTAGGTCATGAGATGAAGACTTGATATTATGAAAATGAAAATATTTTTTGTGAGTCAACACAATTTTGGATCACAGTCATACTTCAAGTTTTACCCCGCACTAATTTGGATGGATTGGAAATCGATTTGTTTTTAGAAGGGGAGTGGTGACTTTACCAAAATTCAGCTCAACCTGTACTTGAGGGGGGTCTAATCAGCAACAAGCTGAATACAGACAATACTTAAAACTATTCTCTGAAAAGGTGAGCCGTTTTAGTTCACAGGATTTTAAATCTGAAGAGTTATGTAATATAATGTCTTATATGTAGGCCAGGCTATGACAAGAAAAGTCTAGTTTGAGGGGGACTGCTTAATGTTTTAATGTCAGGCTGACTTGTTGAGGGGCATGTTAGGGTTTTTCTGCACATTAAAACAAAAAAACTTTAGGGTTTTGTTTGAGTCAAACATTGATACAAAGATAATGTGATATCATGTAAAACATACAATTAAACACATAAAACATTTGTTAAAATATATATAATACAAATATAATTATAATACACAATTAAATTTGAATTATTAAGTTATATTGATTACTGACAAGGATTCCGTGTTTTTTTTTTACAAACTTCAAATTGCATTCATTTTCAATTAATAACAAATACATATATGTAGTTGATTTACGAGCACAATTAAAATAAGTGATAGCCTTTTAGCTTTAACAATGTTTAAATATGTTTGTTTACTTAGTATATTTATCAAAGTCTTTAAAAGAGCCACCATCAGCCTTTCAGAAGCACATCACTTTTTCATCACAAACCACTGAATCAACTATTGCGTCATAACTCCGCGCCGCGTGCGACGCAACTGTGGAGGACACCGAACATGAGACACCTTGGAGGCTTATTTCTTCTGCTAGCGCCACTATCTTGGTGTTATATTTGGGGTAAGATGCAGAAATTACTTTTGCATTATTGTGACATTAAAGAGCTGCTTACATTAAGCGCTTTTTAAATAAATGACGTGAAGTAGCGACGGTTTACAGTCGAGCAGACCTGTCAGTTTGAATTAAGTCTGCGAACTATAGTCCACTTTTTCTGATATATGTAAGGTTTTTCTAGTTTAAGTGTTACTATACAAACACATCATGTTATCGGACGTTATATGTTACAGAAAATGTCGTATTTGGACTAAAATATATGTGCGAAATGTATCAATACAGCTAGAAACATATTTTAAAAACAAGGTGGAACTCATCTGACCAGGCTTTGCAGTGCAAGGTTCAGATTTAAACACCTTTTTAAAAGGTTCTACAAAAAATAATACTTTCATTATTTAATTCAAATATTAAATACAAATTACAGCATTAGTATTTGAATTGACTGTGTAACAAGACTCTGTCACCTTAACTATTTCCTTATCTTCGTCAATTACATCAGTTTAAGTAGATTTAGATGGACACACTTTTATATTATAGGAATGCAACTATTCATATCTTACACTGCACTGTAATTTGTATTCTTGTATTTAATACCTGTTTTATTCTATATGAGCTTGTTTTATCTTTATTTTATCTCTGCTTTTTAATGACTGTTTTTAAATATTGTAAGTATCATTTTATTATTTGTTTTCACTGCACTATATCTTAATGCTCTTAATGTTTTTCTAAAGTACATTGAATTGCCTTGTGTTAAAAGGTGCTAATAAACATGCCTTGCCTTTTATGAAAGAAAATGTATATTATGAAACAGTAAGACTAAAACTTTGTGTTTGAACTTATCTCAGGTGCTGAGGCTCAGTCTCTGCGCGCCTGCCACCAGCAGCGTGGGTTCAGGTGCAGTGATGGCTCGTGCATCCAGAGACTGAGAGTGTGTGACGGGCACAAAGACTGTGAGGACGGATCTGATGAACAACGCTGTGGTGAGTATACAACATGATACCATTTTAACACACGCATACCGGTACACACAACACTGTCAAACAAACATGAGTGAGAAGAACCCAGAGTTGGTGCCAGCCTGAAGTGTATTCAAATGTTGTCACAGCTTTGTGTTGCATAGAAACTGAATGCTGCAAACATCTCAATATCTAACTGACTCATTAACAAAAGTGATTTTTCTAAGTAGCTCCCCTTTCTAGCCAAGGTCTGATAGAGAGATGGATGCTTGTTTTGACAATGATGCAGTCTGACAGCGTGGTTGGGTGTTGTGTAAAAACAGAAGTACTACATGAACACTGACTGCACCATTACAAGAATTGCACATTACTGAGAATGTATACACTAAACTAAAGCACACATAATGCCGGGGCCACATGAGGTATCACCAGCACCCATGGTGTCAAAGTCTACAGTTTCAGACAAATGGCATGTCTAATGATTGTGTTGGCAGGCAAAGCATGCGCCCTTTTACCTACACTTGTTGTTTTTTACAGTGTTGTGTAATACAGTTTAAGTTGATTAAACGACATCAGCTCGTTTTCTTGCATTGTGGGAACAATACCACTGCAGATTATTTGATGTAATCCTTTTAAAGTATTTTGCAAGTAACTTGGAATTGAATGTATTGAATTCCGGAGGGATCTGGGGTTCAGCCTGAACCACAAGCTGCGCAACGTTTGCAAAGAAAAACCCTGCAGGAGAAAATGTTCTGAAAGGATTAAAGGTGAAGGTAGCCAATAAACACAAACATTGTTGATGTTAGGAATTCCCAGCAGGTATGAATATGGGTAGTGTTGCAGTTAGGGTCGTGAGACCTAGAGTTGAAAGAAGCCGGTTTGAAAACCAGCCAGGAAAATGTAGGAGTTGCAAATTACTGTAAATGTATTATGAGATAGTAGAGAGAGAGTAAACAATATCAAGAGGAAATTATCTGTTGTCAGTCTAGGCAACACATTACATTTCAGTCAGGTAAGGTCGTTTTGACAATGTTGCAAAACAGTTAGCTGTTTAATGACAATGTTGGATTTTCCCCATTTATTTATTTTTGCTCCAGTGTGGTTTATTTCACCAGGTGTTGATTTGCTGGATTAGTCATACATTTGTGTTTTGTGGTTTTAACAGTTTTCAAGTAGATTTTCTTGAATCTTTCCTTTAAGTTGCCTTAATGAGGATCTGGGTGGATGTAATCTAAAACAGCATTTCTTATAAACTTAATGACCCATGAGGCAGCTGGTTCTGATGAAGACTTGTATTGTGTTCACAAATATATAAATCATTAGCCTGTCCACATATTTACTCCCCCACCAAACAATTTCCCACTTATTTTTATTGGTCTATTGAGTTGCTCTGAAACGGCATTCAGAGATTTGTTACAAACTGAAACACAAAATAAAATGCTCAGAAGTCAATAATGATTTTTCTATAAATGTTAGTGGCGTACCAAAAGCTGATAATGCTCAGATTACATTTGAACAGAAGCCTTTTCAGCTTTCCATGACTGTACAAACGTATTTATTGATGTAACTTGTCTCACTTTTCACAGATTTCGTGTCCTGTAAGAAGGATGAGTTTGCCTGCCGCAGCAGGCTTTGTATATCTTCACATTTACGCTGCAATGGCGTGGAGGACTGTGGCGACGGCAGTGATGAGGCGTCCTGCTTGAACTGCAGCATCCCTGGGTCTTTCTCCTGCGGACCGTCTGACACCTGTCTGCCCAGAAACAAGCTGTGTGACGGGAGAACTGACTGCAAAGACGGGCGGGACGAGTCTCCACACATGTGTGTTTTGCCTCGGCCACGCCCGCAGAATTCTCCCGTGTGTGCGCCGTTTGAGTTTCAGTGTGGAGACGGGCACTGCATCCGTCAGACCTGGAGGTGTGACCACTCCCCAGACTGCTCTGATGGCAGCGATGAGGACAACTGTGGTGAGTGATACGTTTACAGCTCACTTAAAAACATGGTTCACTGAGAACTACACCTGCACACACTAGTCTGTGTTGGATATGGCATGTGTGTTATATGTTGTGATCATGGATGTTGCCCCTCGTTTCTGTTATGTGATTGTGATGTGCTATATGTGACAGGTATGTAGTAACGTGTGTTTCACCAACACATTCTCACTCCCAACTCGTACTATAGTGCTATAGTCCTTTAGCGTCGATTTTCAACTATCAGGGAGTCCCATTGACTTGCATAGAGCTCCCTGAACGTTGGTAATAGACGAGTTGGGATTGCGGAGAAATGCTCTCTGCAGACCCATTCTCACAGCGTTTATCAACCTTTTTCTTACTCAATATCAAGCCACACTTATTGTTTTTACTTCTTTATTATAATTGTATAATGTCGGACTTTTGTTGCCGTCAGTTAGGGCGAGAGTAGGGGCTCAGAATACTGAAATCTGTATTGTTTCATGTTTCATGTTTTTTCCTTCTGATTTTGTATTATTTTCTAAACCACATACTGTTATTTACTCAACAATAAGACACAATTATCCTTGTGTTTATTTATTTGTTTGATTGTATAATGTCGGACTTTTGGAGTCCGTCAGGACCGAGGGTCGGAGCAGCTCATTCGAACACAGGAAGCTGTATTTTCAAAATAAGAGTTCATTTTAATATTATGTTTGATAATATATTTTGTATTAACTAGACCACTGACCACTGTCGGTTTGGTGTTACAAATATCAAAACAATATATGAGTGGATAACAAAATGGATCCATCATAAACTAAATTGGAAACAGCAGTATATTTTATTGTGTTAACACTGTAAACTTGACAGTTTTTTAACCCACACCACCTACTGGTTAAAGCACGTTATTGATTTTTTTTGTTGAATATGTTATATTTGATGAAAACATAAAAATATTAAGGGTACATACATAGGGGGAAAGTAGAAGGTCATTGATAGAAATAGAAAATAGAAAATGTCAAGAAGATTCTGTAAATGATATCTAGAATAAAACAGTTTAGTGCAGGACGTCCAAAGATCTTAATAGGAGGATGTGCAAAACAGACCAACTAATAAGGCTTTATTAAACATTAAAGAATACTTTAGGTTAGGCTTCTTTTATATAAGAAAAAAGCATTGGGGGTATCAACTAGGGATGCCAGCGATTATTCGATTTTTCGAATATTCGTTACAGTCTCCATAATCGAAAATTATTTTTTAAATTCGATTTTATTTATATATATTTTTATTATTATTTATGTTTTTCTTTTTTTTCCTGGCTTAGTTTCAACCAAAATATAGACTAATGCTAATAATAGTAATAGTATTAATAATTGTAAATGGCCATTGGTCACACCACCAGTTTGTTTTACTGTAAACTTGGAGGAAGCCGCAGACTGCTGCTGCCTGCTGCAACCTGCTACACACCGACCCCCCCCCCCCCCCTTCTCCGTCACACGTGCGATTGATTTATTGGCGATATACAGAACAGTGAGAACAACACAACTAAAGATGAACAAAGAAGAGTTCCTCGTGGAACTACTTCGAACTGTGAAGTGCAAATGAAGTAAAATACAAGCTCTGCGAAAATACTTTTTTTTTTCTCTCCCGCGCGGGGGGGGGGGCGCGCGGGGGGGTGGGCACGCGGCGGCGGCGGCGAATAATCGATTAATATTCGCCAGGGCTGTCCGATTTTCGAATTTGATCATGGTCAGTTTCTGGCATCCCTAGTATCAACAGATAAATATTAAGCCTGACAAAGTACTTAACGTTTAATATATTGCATAATTTGTTTTGGGACTTGACAATCAACTTTCCTGGAATGTTAACTATGTTGAAGCACTTATTTGAACTGATATTATACATATTTATTATACTCTTATAAGATGTATGTAGAGATAGTATAAGAAATGTGCAGAATATGACAGTTTAATGGTGGAGGTACACACATATTGATAGATGTCTTGTAATGCACTGTTGAGGAACCTGCGACCCAAGTTTTGAATCTCCGACCTTGTCAGGTATTGAACATTCAATATAATTATTAAATATAAAACACAGAATTTGTGTGATTATACTAAATGATTTACAAATAAACACCACCGCATATTTACAACTGTTACACATGCTGCTGTAAAGAAAAGATGTCCAACTTGGGATCAATAAAGTATATCTTATCTTATCTTATCTTAAGATGATCGATGGCTACTGCCATATTTGCTAAATTTGCCTCTGAACCTTGACAAGTGCATGTTTCAGGCTTATCAATTAACAACAGGAGGGGTCATAGACATAAGACCAGCTGTTAAATAAAGCTCTTCTGACCTTAGCTGTCATGTGGGTATATATTAATGCTGCCCATTATGGACACAAGCAATTTTCACCCATTTATTAATTATATGTTTTACATTTTATGACACCAATGTGTTTCGTATCCCCTAAACCTCCAGGGATGTACACAGTTTAATACTGGCAACTTCTAATTATGGGAAATACGAAAACGTCTTTTAAAACTACAATTCCCAGTAGAGACGTGCCATAGAACATGGTTGCGAAACTGTTTGACGCTCGGCGTAACCCTCGGCGCACTGTCACTCCAACATCCAATCACAGAACTTGAGGACTAATCACAGGGTTTGTCAAGCAAAGCGGAGAGAATTCTTACTTCCGGGTGTAAGATTCTCTAAAGCAACTACTATGAGCTGCTCCGACCCTCGGTCCTGAGGGACTCCAAAAGTCCGACATTATACAATCAAACAAATAAATAAACACAAGGATAATTGTGTCTTATTGAGTAAATAACAGTGTGTGGTTTAGAAAATAATACAAAATTAGAAGGAAAAAACATGAAACATGAAACAATACAGATTTCAGTATTCTGAGCCCCTACTCTCGCCCTAACTGACGGCAACAAAAGTCAGACATTATACAATTATAATAAAGAAGTAAAAACAATAAGTGTGGCTTGATATTGAGTAAGAAAAAGGTTGATAAACGCTGTGAGAATGGGTCTGCGGAGAGCATTTCTCCGCGATCCCAACTCGTCTATTACCAACGTTCAGGGAGCTCTATGCAAGTCAATGGGACTCCCTGATAGTTGAAAATCGACGCAACCCCTACTGCATTTGATAGTGACGCCAAGGGATCCTGACATAACGTCACTATAGTACGAGTTGGGAGTGAGAATGTGTTGGTTTCACTCTATCTACTTGTCTTTCATCCTTTCTTTATAACTAATGCTGTTGATGTATTGTGATTTTAAGGGTGTCTATTATCATCTGGCCAGGGACAACAGATGGAAATGAGCAATATGTTGGCTAAAGCTGCCCCATTCACAGTTTTTTGTGACAGTTAATGAATGGGGACTGTCCACAACACTATAAACAAATAAACTAAACGAAATATTCCTGTAAAATACACTGTGGCTTCACGTAGGCTATATATAGGCCATACATTAATGGTTTCCAGTTTAGCGGCAGGCTAATGCCAGCAAAATAATGGCTAACGATTTGGGAAAGAAATGTTAAAGTGGACCTATCATGCTATATTTAAATGATATATTGTAGGGCCATACCTATATAATGTATATTTATACGTTTCTGTTTTCAAAATACCAAACAGATCATGCATTTTAGCCATGCCTCATTTCGCTCTATGTGCGGTTTGCTGTCTACGGGTCTGATTCTGCTGACCACGCCCCCCTGCAGGAGAGGGGAGACGTGCTCTGATCAGCTGCTGGGCTGTCAGAAGAGGGGGAGAAAAAGAGATCTCCGCCCTCCGTGTTTTATTATATAGAGTCGTTATTCATTTGTTTTAAAGCTCAATAAATAACCAAGAAGACCTTTGACCGGCACTTTTCTAATTTTGTCCGGAAGATTTAAACTTTAACGGACATCTTGACCGGCGAAACAAACTGAAACTGAAACTCTGCCGCACGGTCCCCTCGTTCCTTGGAAGAGGCGGAGAGGTGGGTGTTTGTCATCTGCTGGTGGACTAACCGGAGAGAATTACAGTGCTTGCCTCGACGGGGAGGGATTGCATTGCAGCGGGAGCAAACGCTTGCCTCGGGGAGGGAGAAAGAAAGCCACAGCGGAGAATAAACAGAAGGGTAACCATGGTAACCAAGTCTTCTTCACTGCTTTTGTGGCAGACTACAGCGCCACTTACAGGCCTGGCATATGTACTACAGCGTCTCCAGCGCTTTCGAACGGCAATGGCCGTGGCTGTCTCCTCCTGATTGGTGGAGTTCGCCCAATAGCCGTAGCGCCACCGTCCTGACGTCAGGACAGTGTTCAAATCTGGATCAGTTTTTATCAGATCCGTTGCAGCCCCTTTTTTAGAGATTTGGGTATGGAGGAAAATGGAGAGGGTTGTGTTTTCTGACACTTGGTGAGTTCCCTGGAACACCGGGGACACGTATTCATGTATAAAAGACGTACAAAAGTGCATTTTGCATGATAGGTCCCCTTTAAACAAACACAATCTGTATTTGATGGCTTGCTTGTGATGCCTTGCTGTCCAGCCAGCAGAGGGCAGTGTAGCGCTGCTCCATACTGCCCAGTGTCTTCCAGCATTTTGGTCATATAAAATGTTTTGGGTGGAGACTAAGGTTGTTCCAAAAGAAAGTTTGAACTGAAAGAAGGGACAGTTTTTATCATGTTATAGTATGAAATAACTAAGTCAAAGATGTGATGAGTGTAATTCTAAAATAATTATTTCACTCATTATTCAACCAAATCAATAGAAAAAAAAGCTGAATATTCTCCATTTGCAGCTTTTCCAAGGTGTTGATTTGCTGATGATTTGTACATGGTTTGAAATTAAATTAATTATTTTTAGCATGTGGAACGTTGGTCAGGAAAAAAATTAAACTTGAAGAAGGCACCATGGTCTTTTAAAAAAAAAAATATCGTTGGATATTTAATATTCTTTTCAATGAATTCATGAATCAAAATGTCAGTGGATTACCTCATAATCAAAACCATCATTAGCCTTTAAGTGTATGAATCCATCTCTGTTTTTCTCTGTTAGCAACTGTAAAACATATTTTAACAATCTCTTGTGCTTATCCTAATTTATTTCTCCTCCCTGACCACAAATCAAACGGCGTTAAAAAGCATCCACCAACAAATCAAATATAATAAACAAACCACGCTCATTGTCAACTGTTAATGTTTGTAATTTGTTTGTTTGGAAGCTGTGTTTTGTATCTGAAAGATTTTTCTCCATTTTATAAATAAGAGTACTGTCTGTTTTTAGGATTCTTCTATTTCATAAGAATTATTTTTCATCTGAACTCTGCTGTGCTGTCTTTATTATGAACAATTTTGGTTTCTGGTTTAGTATTTTGGACGGTTGCTTTTGTTTCTGATCTTATAACCGTTTCTTATCACATTAAGATATATTCTTTAGTACCATTTTTCCTTCTTTCTGGTATGAAACCACTAATGATGATGTAATGTGTGTTTCTGCAGACCAGAATGAATGTCTGGTCGATAATGGAGGCTGCTCTCACCGGTGTGTGGACCAGCCGATGGGTTTCCTCTGCGACTGTCCCAGCAACATGAAGCTGATCGGGGACAGCCAGTGTGAGGGTGAGTGGCAGCCTTAAAACCACCTGCTAGATTTTAAAACCTGTTATGAAGATGTGTCCTGAAAACTGAGTAATGGGCACTTGGAACTGGCTCCATTTACATAATTAATAACACATTACTTTAATGCGTACTCCTTCCAAAGTGTCCGTTCTTTTATCTAGAGGTTGACCCATGCCTGGAGAGCGATGTGTGTGATCAGCTGTGTGTTCACATGAACGGCAGCCTCACATGTGACTGTCAGGAGGATTACCAGAGGAATCAAATAACGAGCGAGTGCAAAGCCAAAGGTGAGAAACAAACTCTTAATGCACCTGGTTACCAGCCTCCAAAATATCAAGGTTATTACTTCTGCAACTGAGAACTTGGGAGGATAAGAGGAGGCCCTGATTAATTATATATTAGGTCTTACTCGGCTTTCTATGATGAAAAATAAGATAACATGCTATGATAAATCCCATCAACATTGAGGCAGCATTTTATTTCATAACTCTGTAGTCAGAGCTACTTTAATGAACAAGGGGTCCAGAGGTCGCGTTAACCGAACATTTTCCGTCTATGATGGATTTTTTTTAACAATGACGGAAAAATCAGAACAGCGCCAAAGCTTCCCCGCAGCGAGGCTCCGGTGTTATGCATGCCTGCCAAACTACTACTACCCTAACTTTGCCGTACAAATCATTGAAATGTCTGTGAGTGCTTTACGCTGTGGCGCGCTCCTGCGAGGTGCAGTGGGCATGCATAACACCGGTGCTAACGGTTCACGAGCATGATTTTCAGATCAGCTCAGTACATCTTTGGTTATGATAAATGACACAAGATCAACTGTGGTGTGTTTCTGTTTTCCTTCTAGGAGAAGAGGCTCAGCTGGTTTTCCCATCTTCTCAAGGAATACGAACGATCAGCGTCACTGGCACGGAGCACAGGAGGCCGGCTCTATATTTACCAGGATCGGGGCCGGTGGCGACTCTGGTCTCTAACCGAACTCTGTACTGGGCCCGGCCAGGACGAGGCTCTGTGTACAGGTAGCAGAGTGCAGCTGGAGCCACCACTCAAACACATCATCCTAACAGATAATATCAAGCATGTACTTACTAACATTTCATATTTAATTCACACTGGATTATACAAAAATAGTACATGAAAATGGTTATTTCATATTGGTTTATTTAACGAACAACCAGAAAATATGCCATAGGCTATACTTTTCTAATGTATTTATTAATATACAGAAAAAATATAAAAAGTACCATTTAAATATTTGACCGTTATCATGATATAAAATGTCCTTAATCAGGATAGTTGATTTTTGCCAAGCACTAACATTGAAGCCTGCAGCCACGTTCGTCATATTCAGATTTTGAATTGGATATATCAGAACGTGGAATAAACACCCTGATTATTGCATTTATTTATATGTTTCCTTCCCCCTTGGATGTTTGTCAGGGTCTCTTTGGATGGAAATAAAAAGGATTCGGTGTTGGTGTTGAAAGTTGAAGGATCGGTGTCAGGCCTGGCTGTGGACTGGATCCATCAGCTCCTCTACTGGACCAGTATGGAGAGCGGTTCTGTGAACGTTGGTCTGCTGGACGGTTCGGCTCAGCGTCCGCTCATCACCGGACTGGACAGACCTTCAGCAGTGGCTGTGGATCCTCTCCAAGGGTAGGAGGCGGTTACTTTTTATTAGCATCGTCCAGAAGGTTCCCCGGACTCACGTCAGAAGGACCAATACAATTGTTATCTTGCATTGCATTGTTATTTATAAAGACAGCTAACACAGCACCACTTACAGCAAGAGCATCTATTTCGACTGTACCTTGGCAATTAAGTTATTGCTTAAGCACTTGTTGATTTAATGTTGGCCTTGTATCTGATTCACCAGCACTTACTATGGTAGGATCTTGCTTGAAGTGAATATATCTGCAGTTTCCTTATTGTTCGGAGTTTGATTCTTTATGGTTTTGGCACATATTGTAGGTCACTTTGGATAAAAGCGTCAGCTCAATGATATGTAATGTAATGTAAAATGTAATGTGAGATATTCTAACACAAGACTGTTAAAAGAAATACAAAAACAGATGGAAGAATAGGAACTGAAAGGACATCTAAAACAGGATGAAGCAAGAATCTTGTATTATTTCATCACTGCTTCTGTTTTCTCAGGCTGCTCTTGTGGGCTCAGTGTGGTAGCTCCCCACAAATTGAGAGATCGAGCTTGCAGGGTCGAGACAGGAAGCCTCTGGTCACTTCCTCAATACGCTTCCCTGTCGCTCTCTCTCTAGGTATGTTCTGACATGTCACGGAAATAATGGTTGAGTAAGATTTGCATCTTTGCTGAGCTTTCAGAAGGTGTTGAAATCTTGATGTTGAGAAATACAAAAAAAAGGGGGAAGACCCTCAGTCTGCCCTTTTTGAAACAGGAACAGTATTTATAAGCAAAAGCCAGAGGGTTCCTCACAGTTCATTGTGGTTCGTGATGCTGCTCATAATGCAGGTTGTGGTTTAATTTGATCACTTTTCCTCCTAGATATGCCTCGTCAGCTGCTGTACTGGGTGGACCAGGGGATGAGAAGCATCTCCAGAGTAAATCTAGAGGGCCGCCACCGAAAAACAGTGGTAGAGTCTAACGGTTATCTGGACCGGCCCTTTGGACTTGCTGTGTTTGAGGTAAAAAGTGTTATGGATGGGCCACACAAAGAAAATGTTTAAAGATATCTGTGAGAGTTCCTGCTCTCACTGCACTTCCTCTAAACTCCAGTGTATAAATCCAGTCTGCTGGGCATCCCATTATCCTGACGCTGAACTAAGAGGCTTTTCTCTTTTCCTTTATATCCAACATCTAGAAATTCTCGAAGGTGTGATAACAGTTCTGCTAACTCTGTCAATTCTGCTTCAGGGTTTTTTATATTGGAGTGAAGAAGTTACGCACTCCATCTGCCGAGCCAACAAACACAATGGCGGAAACCTCCAAGTTCTGCTGTCAAACGTCACCTCACCTGGGGGCGTGGTCATCGTTCAGCCGGCCCTCCAACCAAACGGTATGGCGGGTCAAATAATCAGACATTTACTGTATGATTCGGACATTAAAGTGATTTTGCTTTAAGTATTGTTTCTGTTGATGGTTTAGGGGTTCACTCAAGTATTGATTGACACTGTAGATTGGTGCTGCTGGAGTCACATTAATGCCGCCTTACATACTCTGTGTACTTTCTCCTGGTTCTTAGGGCCGTCTGTATGCAGGCATGCTGGGACGGTGTGCCAACAGGAGTATGTTGTCGACCTGCTGTCTCAGAGTCCACAGTTCAACTGCACTTGTTCGGAAAAAAAACAAAACGCGTCTCAAGAAATTCCCGTAATTTCGCGGACAGTCCCTGCAACATCCGTATCTGACCCTGCCTTTGCTGGGATCCTCTCTCTTATAAGTAAGACCCTTTTCTATCCCTCAAAATATTTTGTAAAAACAAAACCTCATCACATGTTTGGAAAACCTCCTGTTCTTTTCTTTTAGTATTTGCCCCGAAACACACTATTGTTAAAATAAGCCTTTTATCAAGTTAATGACTGCTTATAATAGTGGTGGTCTAATAGATAGTGAGGTGGGCTGAAGATCGGAAGGTTGTGAGTTCAAATCCTGCCAGGAACACCACCACTAGTGTGCCCTTGAGTAAGGCACTTAGTCCTTAGTTACTCCAGGGAGAATGTCCCTGTAATTGGTCATTGTAAGTCGCTTTGGATAAAAGCGTCAGCTAAATGAAATGAAAATGTGGAGGCAATTAAGATGTTGTTTGTTGTTGACACTTTTGGCTTTGGTGATGACTCGCACTAAAACATTGACTTTAAAAGTCAATCGATCAAATACATTACATTACATTGCATTTAGCTGACGCTTTTATCCAAAGCGACTTACAATAGGTGCATTCGACCAGGAAGATACAAACTTGAAGAAAACAGAATCATATAAGCCAAAACATTTCAAGTGCTACTCAACTGGCTTTAGATAAGCCCGTCCTTTATTAGTATATAAGTGCTTTGTTAGAAATTCCTTGTTAGTAATTCTATCGCTCGAAGTGGAATCGAAAGAGATGAGTTTTTAGTCTGCGCCGGAAGATGTGTAGGCTTTCTGCTGTCCTGATTTCAATGGGGAGCTCATTCCACCATTTTGGAGCCAGGATAGCAAACCGACGTGTTTTTGCTGATGGGAACTTGGGTCCCCCTCGCAGTGCGGTTGCAGCGCGCCGTTTGGCTGATGCGGAGTGCACGTGCTGGGGTGTACAGTTTAACCATGTCCTGGATGTAGGAAGGGCCAGATCCATTCGCAGCATGGTACGCAAGTACCAGAGTCTTGAAGTGGATTCTAGCAGTTACTGGAAGCCAGTGAAGTGAGAGGAGGAGCGGCGTGGTGTGGGAACATTTTGGAAGGTTGAAGACCAGACGAGCCGCTGCATTCTGGATGAGCTGCAGAGGTCGGATGGCACATGCAGGTAGACCAGCCAGGAGGGAGTTGCAGTCGTCTAGGCGTGAGATGACGAGAGCCTGGACCAGAAGTTTTGTCGCTTTCTGGGTCAGGAGGGGACGTATCCTCCTGATGTTATAAAGAGTGGGACTGCAGCAGTGGGTTGTAGCAGCGATGTTTGAAGTGAAGGACAGTTTGTTATCTAGGGTCACACCCAGATTCCTTGCAGTCTGAGGCTGGTGCCCCACGAGGACGAAAACGGGTTGTATCCGCATATTTCTCTTGCGTATAGCCCTTTTTGCCACACAAGGCCGTAACTAAACGATAGAAACAGACCCCGCAAACGATAACGGGTCCAAAGGTGGATAGATCTGGGAACGGAGCGCTCCGGGGGGGTCATACGGCTCCGTGTGATCACCTCTATACGATCATTTTGTGATAATGATGACGCAATAGCCCTGCCTCCCCCCACCTCTGCTGCTCACCCCCGCAAAAGTAAACTGCACACTGAATTCAGATTATTTATCTTTATCTCGATATGGACATAAACGCGAGTGAAGTCTAATCTGACAGGACGGAGACACGCAGCTCCTGTGTGTGCTGCATCACAGCGGGAGGAGCAAAACACACACTTCAAGTCAGATCATCACCCTTAGCTATTTTAATTAGCCTACCTCTCAAACTACCTAAACTAGTTATAAATATGTTTATTTTTTACTGTCGGCCGGGTCACTCATTACTGGATCAGCTGCTGCATGAGACATGACGCTGTCAGAAGAGAGGAAAAAGAGAGGACAGGCTCCGTGTATTTTATTATTATATATAGTCGTTATTCATTTGTTTTAAAGCTTAATAAATAACAAAGAAGACCTTTGACCGGCACTTTTATAATTTTGTCCGGAAGATTTAAACTTTTACACACGTTGACTGGCGAAAAACTCTGCCCGGTTCCCTCGGCCCCCACCACGGTGAATAAACAGAAGGGCAACCATGCTTCTTCGCTGCTTTTGTGGAGGAAGTTACAGCGCCACGTACAGGCTCGGCATATGTACTGCAGCTTTTTCCATCGGTTGGAGCTAAACGGAGCTGTCTCGTGTGAACCAAGCCCCCAGGAAGTGCGCCGGACTCAGATGAAAATATTTGTGCTGGCCAAACTGCGGTACTACACTTCCTTTTGGTTGCTAGGCCCGGAAACACTTTTTCCCATTGACTTACATGGGGAAAGAGTGGTCTGTAAATCGTTGGGTAATTTTTTTTAAACTAAATAAACTACCCAGTATGAACACTTGTATAGCCCTTATTAAAAACATTCGTTCCTCAAGTTGTAAAAATGTGCTAATAACGTTATTCTGCGAGTTATTTCCCTCTGCATTATGAACGCGCATCTAACCCACGGGACCGCGCCGCCCGGCACGTTCATGTTACGTGTTCAGCACTAGTACATGCGTTTATCTTTACCCATGGATGCACAATAAGAACGGACCCATATCGCCTTACTGCCAGCCCACGGAGCTGTAATAATGGATATATTGCACATGTTTGCTGTAATTCATCATTTGTAAAATATTATATTACATGGGCTGTATGATTAAATCTTGTACCGTAAATGTTGTATTAAATAAAGTTAATATTACCGATGTAGATGAACGTCCCTGTAGCTTCTTATTGCACTAAGAAACTTATTGCACTGTGTATATGTATATATATATATATATATATATATATATATATATATATACATATATATACAGTGCAATAATTCTTTCATGCTAAATGAAGCTCTGTTGCTTGGATATCACTAGATCCTGTTACAGCGTAATATAAAAGTACATAACGATTGATGTGTAAATTAGCATAATTACTAGCTAACCGCTAGCTGCTAACTGCCGCCTCGTTAATATCAAATCTATCATAACAAACCATTACCATGCTGTCATGAACGTGCGGTGCTGTTACGTGTATGCAAATTGACGTGCTTGATGTGAACGAGCATTTTGGGGGGCATGGTTAAAGTTGCGCATGCGCTATGAGCGCACATACGGGTACTTCTCAGGCATGCCGGGTAATCTGTGACGTTTCGCTCTCTCAAAAGTTGGGCCATTTTATCATCATGCGCGAATGAGCAACTCTCATAGGAATGAATGAGGCCCCGCCTCCCACGCTGTATCCAGTTCTTATTATACATCCATGGTGTGAACAGACACTATCCGGTGTATATTGCGTGTGGACGGAAGCTTTTTTGCGATTGCGTTAATCCTATGCGTTTTGCCGTATGCGTTCCCGTGGGGCACCAGCCTGAGTCGGGGAAACAACAGAGGTGCCGATGTTGATTGTTAGGTCAAGAGTGGGACAATCTTTTCCCGGAAGGAAAAGCAGTTCAGTCTTGTCAAGGTTGAACACAAATTTGACATCACTGTTTCCTATTGAGCTGAGTTGTTAACATGCACTGTTGTGGAGCAATTGATTATAAATTCAGGCTTATGATTTCACCGCCACTAAAGGCTATAAAGAAGCAAAGCAACGTCACAAAGTTGTTCCAAAAGTTGCAGCATTTAACAGAGTGCGTTTTTAATTGGGAACAGTGTTAGTGTGCAGGCTTTTTAAGTCAATTATAAATGTTTTGGTTACAGTCATTTGGTTTTTGAGTAGTTTTTTTATCGGGTTTATCATGTAAATAATCTTTGTCTGGAGAAGCACTCCAATATTATTACTATTCTAAATGTATGTGTATTTCTGAAGCCTTATATAGGCCTAACAGCCGTGTGTGTGTGTTGTGTGTGTCCCAGTGTTTCTCAGTGTGCTGCTGGGGGGAATGGCTCTGTGGTGGTGGAGAGAGGAGTTCAGGCCGTCCCGGTCCCTCATGGAGCAGAGCTTCTCCCTCAAAGAGTCCCAGGACCCCCTCATCATCCAGGGGCCACACATGGGTCCAAACACACGTCTAGTCAAGGCAAGACACACACAAACACATATATAAAAATAAAGCAGACACAGGCAACTTCACTCACCTTCAGAGAGGAGGTAGAGATATATGCTGCACATGTGCATATATATACATTTCTTTCCAAGTCTTTTTATTTAATTATGGTGTACCCCCAGATCTGGCGCCCTAGGCGACCGCCTAGGGCGCCAGATCTGGGGGGGAAAAAAAAAAAACGGCCCTGTACACCATGCTAAATGTGTTGTAAATGAGTTATGATCGGTCATAATAACACAGAATTTGGTGATGATTAAATAGTTTACAGTGAGATTTCCCATACTTTTGGCCATACTCACGCAGCCCTACAAATGAATTGAGATTTCCACACAAATGATCTTTAGCAAGTGTGCAGAGCAGTGTTGATTTAAAAAAGCAATTTGAAGGTTGGATATTTGTAAACCTTTTTTTGTGTATATATATTAATAATTTAAGATGTAAATGAATTCCAGTTTATTTGTAGTACTTTCTATTTTTATTGTGACATTTGGTGGCATCAATGTGTGCATTTGATACAGATAATGGAGCAGTTGCTTTAGGGCCACAGTGTATATCCCTTAAGGCCCTGACACACCAGGCCGATATCGGCCGTCTTCGGTTGTCTGGCGACAGCGCGTTCCTTGTCGCCCAAAGTCAATTTGGTGTGTCCCGAACCCTCGGCCGTGACACGCCTTATTTGGCCTTTCAAGGTCGACACATGGCCGATTCAACATGTTGAATCGGCCATGTGTCGGACACAAGCTATCGGGCCAAGAAACCACTCTGATCATCTCTGATATCGGCGGGAGCGTCCCCGGCTGTCCTCTGCTGAGAGCTCCGTGATGTTTTTGGTCAAGTCCGGTTTATTTGTCAGTATAAAGTTGCAGGATTAGTCTCAAGTACCTCAACATTGTCCTTAAGTACAGTGTCTAAGTAAATGAGATAGTGTCTACTGCTGTTCATTTACCTATTGTGAGTCGCCTCGGATAAAAGCATCACATGGAAATGTAAATTTAGCAAGAAGTGGCCATTATTACATTACATACATTACTACATTGCTGACTCAATAAACTACACACCCGCCAGAACACTGCGATCATCAGATGCAGGTCTATTAACTGTGATTTTATAGTATGTCTGCACTTTATGTGCTCATTTCATCATTCATGTATTTTTATATTCTAAAACATGTTTTCGATGGACGAGAGTGAAAATGGAACGCACACACTATTTGTTGTTTGTTTAGATCAGTCTGTTCCTCTTCTCTTTCTTCCGGTTGTTGCCTATTTTGAATGACGAATACACACTACCGCCGCCTGCTGGTAAGGACAGTTATTGCCACTCACGCATGCGCAGTTCGTACGTGCTCGGCTGAAGTCTTTGCGGTGTGTTCCAGTGCGACACATGGCCAAGACGCAGGAGAGCTCGTCGATGGAACTGTCGGTGTTGGCGAGTTCTCTGGTGACTGCCTGGTGTGTCAGGGCCTTTAAGGTCAAATAATGAGATCCTCGACCTCCGCCCCCCTCTCGCACCTCCACACAGAGCCCCCCCACATATCAAATCCCAACTTAACCCCTGGTTATAACACATTAGAGATGTCCTTCATTTGTGTCTTTTACTGCGTACTATTTTTGGGATGTCTCATCTGTGCATCATTCAGGTTTTAGCAACATTTTATTCCAAATCTGAGAACAGAGGACTGTCGGTCTTCACATGTTACATTTGATTGATTTGTGTTATCTGAATTTCCTTAACACAGAACTAAACAAAATCCAGCATGAGATGGAATCCAGTGTTTATTAGCTGCTTGTTATTGAAATATAATGTTCTTCCTCTGGTAGCTTCCCTGATAAACACAAATTGACCTGCTTTTGTTAGGTTTAAGGTTTATTCTGGTAGCACTTGTTGACTAAACAACATGGTTTTCTGCCGCCAGGACACTCTGCTAAAGCGGGACAGAGACGCTGAATGAAGACGGTGCGGGACAGAAGGCCAACTTCACGTGCCGCTGACGGAGCGACAGGAACACAAACCAGCTCATCACCCCGTCCTGTTCCCGCCTCCGCAGGTTAAACTCTCATGAGATAAATAACCCAGGGTTAATTTCAAAGTTCAGATGGGGACAGGCTTCAGGCTGTAACTCCTGTTTTGAGGAATGTTACTTTCAGAAGTTGGCGTTGATGACGTTTGTCTTTTTTCTATTTCTCTGTGTGGAAATGTGAAGACTTCAGATTAGACATGAACATGAAATAATCAACTGTTTTGATTATTTAAGTCGTTGCTCGTTCCAGCTTCTGCTTTTCAAATTTTTTCAAAGACAGTGCTCTAAATATATTCAGGATTTAGATTATTTGCTGATCGGTTAAAATAATCAAATAGCAGACTCTGCATTTTTCAGTATTTTCTCAAACAGTACAAACCATTTATTCACTGACTGTAATAATAATAATTGCAGTGCTACTGTAAATGCATATCTTTTGTTTAATTGCACTTTCTCTTTCATCGTTTATTTAATCTTATTCCAATCACAACTCTATTTTTATAACATTAAGGACGGTTTGTACTCTCCAATATGAAACGGCTAACTGAAAAGTGTTCCACTGGTTTGTTCCTGGCCTTTAGGAGTTCACTCTCTTTGTTTGTAAGTCAGATAAAAGCATTATGGCATTTTGAATGTACGCTTTGTTCAGTGAACAGTCTAACTGGATAGTTAAATTGCTGTAGTATGCTTATCCACTTTCTTACCAAAACTTGGATGAGAAGATAGGTACCACTCTCCTGAACGGTAGTGATCATCTCGTTTAACTCTATAAGAAAAGTGAATTTAACTATTCAGTTGAAGCTTGCAAAACTTTTGGTTGGTAAGGGTAACATTTTGACCATAAAATCAGATTAAGCCTCATTGGACCTGCAGGTGGCGCAAAAAGGAGAGGTCAAAGGATCGGCAAATGTAGACAGATCCATCATCTTGAGACCGTGAATATTTGAAATAAATATCATGGCGATCCAGCAAAGAGTTGGTGAGAAATCTTGATCTCGCCCATAAGGCTGCGTAAGAAAGTTTCCCTTTTTCCGAGCAGTAAAGTTTTGGAACATTTAATTTAGCCTTTGATTCTCTTTTTTCTTTCATCGAATCTGTTATCCTGTACCTTGCCTACAGTAACATCGGACCGGATGTGCCCTGAACTGCCTTTAACATTTATCAACAGTTCTAAATGTGGCCTTGATTGTTGATGCAGCGTTGACGCACCAATTATTGGTGTATTTTTTGGAGTCAATTTAATTTGAAGAGGCCTTTTTCATTTAAAAACAATAGATCAGTGCAGTAGGTTTGATTCTCAAAGGGGACAATTGCAATAAACACATCTGGATTTGTGACTTCGTTAATATTTTGGATCAAATCATTATGAGGTAGAGATGTCCTCCTCACACTGTTTAATTGTTAATAAACTAATGTGGTTTTTTTGGCTACGTCAACAAGAAATGCCAAAAAAAATTGACATTAATCTTTTTTTGTCTTCGAATGTTGCACGAAATGATGTGCTGGTTCAACGGGAACAAATATGTGTTTTTGCTTTGTTTGGTTTGGTGTGATGTATCCTGGGTGTTGAGTGCACAGAGCCCGGCAAGAAGCTGTTGGAGTGAATGTTTGGTTGATCAACCTGCCTTGTTTGAATTCAGTCATTTTTTGTTGTTTTAGTCTCAGAGAAACGCACAATTCTGTATGATCGATAATATTCATTCAGCATTGAATAAGAGAAAATTCTTTAACTGTGCTCAAACTGCTGAGATGTGTGGTTGGTATTTATTTTTAAAGTTGGATTTTATTTATATTTTGGTAGCAGTAGTTAGTGTAGCACTGACTTTGCACTATAGAAAAACTGCTAGATGTTGTAAATGAATAAAATAAAGTATTTTATGTTTTCCCTACATTTTTGCCTACGATTTATTATTACACTTCAAGTCCTCTCTGCTAAGAATGCTATAGTTTATAAATCACAGTGTAAACGTTTTTATCGGAGTACTTTCTGAATGACAATGCAAATTAGGAGCCTGAGCTGATTATGTGGTCTCCAGCTCTTTCTAAAAATACTGTAAGTTAATTGTTCACTTACCATCTCTTGAATAATCAAACCAAACGGATGGCTGGCATTAAATCACTGGTGGGTATCGAACTGTAAATACAAATATCAGTGTCTGTGAAGACTTTTCTTTACACTGCAAAATATTCTCCATGTCAAACACTGGGAAGAAGGTGTTGGAAAATACCAAGCTCTCCATTTCCTTTATGGGCTTGTTGGGTGTGATTCTGCTAAAGTTATGATCAGCGATTAGGTCATGGCGTTAAAGCAAAATGCATATGTACATGTTTGTTTTAAAAAGACATATGCAACATGACCACACTTTTTAAGATCAAAACACAAGAGCACTGAGAGTCTGTACTTTCATACATATATGATAAACAGTGAGGTAAATCTATCAAAAAAATGTAACCTGCTATCTTTTTAAATAACCATTTAGAAGAAATTCACTAAATATTTGAGTCAAGAAATCAAGATAGACATACAGACGCAGAGGGGTCCATCAGCTGAAACAGGCACCGCCCAGCAGGCAAGAACACAAAGTCATGCTGCTCAGGACTAGCAATAATCTTTGGAGCTAGAGAGACACACAAGAGGCACTATAACTGTAAGTAGCCTACACTTAATTATTTATACAAACCATATATTCAGTAAATATCATATAGCCTAATGCTGTTTTGAAGTAGCTGAACACACTTCTAAAGGACTGCAGTGAGCTTCCCTTTTAAAGTAATAGGCAATATTTTAGATACAATACAAAATAAAATGTTTTTGCTGATCAATAAACATGACTGTCAAATAAACCAATAAAAGAAATACAAACATAAGTTAATAAACTTATATTGTGTAGGTACTTTGGCCTTGTGACTTTCGGGTCTGAAGAGTGAAGCCAATGTGGAAGTGCCTTAAACTTGCCTTTTTATAGGTCACCTATTATGCTAAAAACACTTGATGTAATTTATACATAAATATGTGTCTCCGGTGTGTAAGGAGACTCACAAAGTGTCAGACCCTCTCTCTTTTCCTCCTTACCCTTACCCACATCTCTAAAAGCGGGGGGGGAAACGGAGCTGATCCAGATTTGCTGCAGTACATTACTAAAATATGGGCTGGCAGAAACGTCGCTATCAAAAACAAGTAAGTAATATGGTCTGTGTTTACAATAGCAAGCATCGCTAACACTCAGAGCTAACGCTGTACTGGAGAGAGTATGTGTAAAAAAGCCGCGGGCCCAGAATCAGCACTTTTGTAACAGGGCTGAAATACAGGGGTATGAGGTAGGGCTAGAATGGGTGATCTGTTTGGTATTTGGAGCAAAACACTCAATAGAAAGGGTTTTTTATATATCTGAGACCTATAATATATGCCTCAAAATAGTATAATAGGAGACCTTTAAAACTCTGTTTGCAAATTGTGTCTATGGGTTTATGATAATCCAATTGGTATAATTTATTTAATGTCACACATGTTAATATCGGTTGGAAAATGTACACCCCAGTTATTTAAGTTTTTCTTGTTTCAATAAAAGGGGTTTTTTCCCACTATCCTTTCTGTGTGGTCTATAATAGGCTACCTCGTTATGCATATTCCTTTATATTTTAAATACAAATGTTACCTGATCCGTTCATTCAAAACATGATACTGCACAGTTCAAGTAAGCTGTACTTTTAATATTGTACATTTTTGAAAATATATACAATTACAACCTTTTCACAAAAGTTGGTTTTTTAATGCTTTTATCTCATATTTCAGCAGCGATGTTATTGATATCTGAAATGTTACATACACTGAAAAAACGGAAACGTTGACTTGATGAATTATGTCATGTAATGACAACTTCTGTAGTCCTATTCAACCACCGTTTTTCAGACACGTAAACACTTAAATCACTGCTGATGTATTTAATGTCGTAGAACAAAACGGGATCCGTCTCTTAAATTTGTGTCAGACCTTATTTCGAGCTATTTTCCAAAAATTAGTTAAAAAAAACCCATTGACTCTGAGACGAGGGAACCGGAAGTGGTAAAATGCACTTCCGGGTTTTAGGACTCGTTCCTGCACCACTCTATAGTCTTGTGTAGTGTGTCCCTTGTTTCTTCTGCCAGCTTGTTTGGATAAGGTCATCATTTATTTCTCATCCAGACCACAAATCTACGGAGCCCGGGAGGGGCCATAGAGAGAAAAAATAAATAAACGAGGCCACGCTTTACTAATTTGTGCGCACGAGATGTAATTCGTTTGCACGTTTGAATTAATTTGTGCGGACAAATAATACAAATTACAGAATTTTGGCAGTGCACAAGGCCAAGTCATTCATACCAGCCGCCACGCCCTTGTCCATGCTTTGGGAGAAAGGCTGCTCTGTTGTGCTGTATACATTCAGGGCCGTCCCTCCCTACAGGCCGATCACGCAGACTGCGTAGGGCCTCACCTTGCGGAGGGGGCCTCACCTCGCGGAGGGGGCCTCATCTTGCGGAGGAAGCCGCAAATGCGGTGCATCTATGCGCTTATGAAGCGCAATTAGTGTGGTTTCGCCGCTGCGAGGCTCCACTAGCACCCCCCCCCCCCTTTAACGACGACGACGCTCGCGAGGGCCTCATCATATAACTTTGCGTGGGGCCTCAAGTTGGCCAGGGACGGCCCTGTATACATTATATACCTAACTATCTCGTGCGCACAAATTGAGGCCACAAATGACATCTCGTTCGCACAAATTAGTAAAGCTTGGCCTCGTTTTATTTATTCTTTCTCTCTATGGCCCCTCCCGGGCTCCCTCCAATTCAAACTATGGCAGCGTTAAAAGGCATCCACCAACAAATCATTTAACAAACAAACCACACACATTATCAGCTGTGAATGTCTTGAATTAGTTTGTTTGGAAGCTGTGTTTGTTTCGTCATCCAAATGGAAGTTAGCGTATCTGAAAGTTATTTCCCTATTTTATAAATAAGAGTACTGTCTGTTTTCAAGACCCTTTTTTATTACAAACAGCATTAGTTTATTCTCTGCTGGACTGTATACTGTACTGGTTATGGTGTATATATATGCCCTCTGCAAAAAAACATATCTCTTTCAACATCAACAAAACTACAACTGAGTACTAACTTGACCGGAGTAATATTAATAAAAAAATATCTGAAAAAAAGCTGAGCAAAGAGATATAATAAAATCGTATTTATGCACATAGAACTCCTCGAGTGAAGTCTTTACTGACATATTTAATGTTGCAAAAGAAAACTTGAAAGTCTCTTCACCTAACCACAAACCTTATTTCAACCGAAAAAGAGTTCAAACAAATTGACTTCGAGACGAGGGATCGGGAAGTTGTTAAATGCTATGAACCGCATACACACACACAAACACCCCATACTACACAATCAAGTCTGAACCCATGTTGTTTTATTCAGTTTGCTTTGGTTATTTATTATTTTTCTTTTGTCTGTATATGTGACCTTGAAAAAAATTCATATTTGCACATGGCTTTTGTACCAAGTACACTGTAATGACAGGTCTCACCTGAACAAATGCGGATGTATTAGCGGATTGAGTGAGTGTGCAAACATATGAGTAGATATTATTACATCCAATGGAAACACGTTTATTGACAGAAGTTCAAGTTAGTGCTCATGACTTAACTTGACACTTATATGGTTAGGCTTCTTTTTAGTTTCACCTAACATTTCTGGCATACAACATGGTTAACAGAGACTGAACAAATAACCCCTCTTTTTTCAGTTCATTCACATTATTTCCTGTTAATTCTTTTGGGAAGTCTCAAACTTAAGTAATTAACAGAGTATAGCTTCACATGTGAGGATTAGCAAGGGGAAAAGGGGAACTTAGTCAAAGCATTAAGACTTGGAGTTCCAGATCCGCTCAGGACATCTTTGGTTATGATAAATGACGGAAGAACAACTGTGGTGTGTGGTTTCTGTTTGTGTTGTGGGAAAGTACAACCTGCTACAAAGCTGGTTGAATATTCCATTAATTCTTATATGAATGAAATATAAGATCATTGTATATAAATATCATGTCCTAAAAACTCTCTGTGAAAGGAGAGCACACAGACGGGACAACATGTCATAGTTAACTGTCATCAAAAGCTAGATAGCGTTATTTTATAAAACTTGTATCTTCTTTACTGTAAATGGGACCATAATCAACACAAAATCAATAAATCCAAAAAGAAGTTGGGTCCTTTTCTCAGAGACATACAATCAGACTTTTTTTGCAAACAACAGAGTTTTAAATGCAAGTTTAGGGCACTTCCACATTGGCTTCACTCTTCACACCTGAAGGTCACTATAGCCAAAGCAATGCATTGCGCAACATGACTTGAATACCTACACAATAGGGGTGTATTAACTTATCTTTGTATTTATTGTATTGGTTTATTTGACAGACTCATGCTTATTGATCAGCAAATATAAATGAGAAAGAGTATGGAGATGCAAATTATGTTTTAATATTAACGTGCCACAGCTTCAACTAGCCAGTGAAGAACAGAACATCTTGCTTTTTGGGGTACTTCCATATTTCATATTTTGAACACTGTTATGGAAATTGATCACTGTGAGCAGATGCCTGTCTTTGACAGATGCTAGAACCACCTCAGCTGACCCTGAGTTTAAAATGTATCTGAATGACAAAGCAAAGAGTAGGGTAAATTAATTGATTGAATTAGTTGTTTGGATTAATCAGTTCACTCCTCCCTATATTATTCCTAGTATTACCCCCTCCTTGCGTATGCCACTAACGTATGAAAAGCTTCCAGATAAGGTGTTTATCTTATCCAATTATCTGAGCAACTCCTGGTTCTTTGTGCTCTGTTATACTCTTT